AGCCACAAGTACCCAATAGGAATCTCATCTTTGATTCCTAAAGGAACACAAGTATCAATCATAAAATTCTCAAAGTATTAAGTGGATACATTTTGGAAAAAAAAAAAAATTGAAACACAATCTTGTTAGTAGTTCAGGTTGGCCTCAAACTTTCGATCCTCCCAACCTCAGCCTCCTGAATGTCAAGATTAGAGGCACGTTCTACCACACCCCAACATGGCAAATTTTCTCTCACATTCACCTCCTCACCAACCATGTGGTTTTACAGCCATCAGTGTTCTCAAGTATAGAGGTGGAGTCATAGTTGGCAAGATCAAGGTCTCATAAATGTAGGTAGTTGAGGGAAAAAATGTAAAAGGTTGCATTCATGTATGTGATTAGACAGTAAGTGAAAGTTCTAGAAGGCAACCACACCCTTTAAATAACCACTGTTTCATCATGAGGCTGCCAGATGCGGTGACTCCTGCAGGCACTCCTTCCCTTCCTTAGGTTCACGCCCACATCGCCTTCTGAGCCCCGCCCCCTCACACCAGACCCCATCTAGAGGCAGAACCAGCCCTCCCTGGTCGGAAGAAAAGTTCTTTGACTTCACTCTCACCCTTCCTTCCCTCTCTTCTTCTCCTCCCCCCTTAAAATGCAAGCATTTAGCCAGTCACCGTTGACTCAGGCCTGTGATCTAGCTGCTCAGAAGGCTGAGATCTGAGCATAGCGGTTCAAAGCCAGCCAGGGCAGAAAAATCCCCATGAGACTCTTAGCTTTAATTAACCACCAGAAAACCACAAGTGGTACTGTGGCTCAAAAGTGGTAGCCTTGAGCAAAAAGAGCTCAGGGACAGCGCCCGGGTCCTGAGTTCAAACCTCATGATGGACAAAAATAAAAAATAAAAAAATGCAGGCATTTAAGAGCAGGCATTTTTTTTTTTGCTTTGTTTTTGTATTGTTTTGTTGTTTTAATCTCTGTCCCAAGTGATTTGTTAGAATGCTCTCTGTAACCTCTTCCTAGGCGTCACCTTATAGGCTTAGTTCCTTACAGTCTTTTTCCCAGAATCTGGGAGATAAAACACAGTCATTGCAGTATTTTCCTCTAGGAAGTCAGGACAGCTGTACAGAGAGAGTGAGCTGAATTTCTATCTTTGGTAACAGGTGTGAAACAATGATATCAGAGCCTGGGAAGGAGAAAATGGTTGCATATAAAACACTTCCCCCCCAAAAATGGAATTAGAACTGATTCTGAGACAGGGGTAGGGCTTGGGGAGGAAGGGGACCCCAAGAAAAAATGGGGGATTGCAAAGAAGGCTGCCTTTGAGTCCTTTTTAGATCTGGAGGTTTTCCATCTCAGACCTGGGGCAGCGGGAGTAAGCTGGCAAGGTCTGCAGACGGCTTGTCAGAGTGGCTGAAGAGGGGCTCAGGCTGTCAGTTAGGTTAGCCGTCTTTATGAGGTGTGGGAGGTCGCATTGAAGACGGGCTGGTCTCCAGCTCTGGTGTGCCAGCCTGCAGTGTTCAGGCACACAGCAGCGTCCATCTTCTGCCCTGCCATCTCTAGGTGTGGCTTACTTCGCATGGCATGGGGTACTCACCGATCACCCCAGATGCCCATCGACTCCTCCAGTTTTCCCATCCCTGGCCAGACCTGAGTCACATGGCTATCTTGTCTTGGAGGAATTGGTTCTTTTAGCTGAATGGCAACAAACCTAGCTAAAATAGGCCTTGAGATAATTAGGAGAGAGGGGAGAGTCTCCCCATCACAGAAAAGCCTGTGATACCAACTGCCTGGCTGGCCAGCCTGGGGAGGGGCGGGGCGAGGGTGGAGGGGTTCTGTTCTCAGGAAAGTGGCGGCAAGACAGAAAATAAATGACAGTCAGTTGACAACCTATCTTCTCTACTCGCATTTGCAGCTGTAGCTGCGCATAATTAGTGGCAGGAGCAGGCAGTGTCACAGGTCCTCTCTGTATAATGCCTGAGACTTTCACGAAGTCACCTCTCTTCCCATCTCTTTGATATGAATAAATTCTGTCTATCAAGTACTCCTGAGTGACAGAAGGAGGACCAGGAGAGGGAAGAGGGAAGTTCCTAACGCGGTACCATTAAGGCCTCATGCCTGAAAACCTAGAGGATTCAAGTCCAAGTCTATTTTGGGGGGTTCTTGGTAGCGAAGGATTTGGGGAGCTCATCTCTAGCTAACGTATGAAGAAGTATGTAGGGGGACCCCTTCATTGTAGGGAGATGAGAGGAGATTCTGTTTCTATAAAAAAGTTACTATATTTAAGAAAAAGTCACATGAACAAAATGAACATTAGAATATTAGAGAATTTTGTTTGGGCTGGGTTCTGGTGGCTCATGCCTGTAATTCTAACCGTCCAGGAGGCTGAGATCTGAAGATCACAGTTCAAAGCTACCTGGGCAGGAAAGTCTGTGAGACTCTTATCTCCAATTAACTACCAATAAATAAATAAATAAAAGCCAGAAGTGGAGCTATGGCTCAAAGTGGTAAAGCACTAGCCTTGAGCACAAAAGCTCAGGGACAGTGCCCAGGCCGTGAGTTCAAGCCCCAGCACCAAAAATAAATAAGGTTTGATTTGGTTTGGTAGTTGGTAAATGTATACCTAAGAAAGGTGGATAAGAAAACACTATGACAAAAATCTCATACTATCTCATTGTCTCAGAGCCCAGAAAGCATATTATTTTCAAGGTTTATGGAATTAGTATATGTGTGTGTCCTGGGCTCTAACTCAGGGCTTAAGCACCCACTGGTCCTGAGTTTTTGTGCTCAAGGCTAGCGCTCTACCACCTGAGCCACAGCTCCACTTCTGGCTTTGAACCATGATCCTCAAATCTCAGCTACCTGAGTAGTTAGGATTACAGTCATCGAGGCTGGGAAGGTGGCTCAGTGGTAGAGGGCTTGCTTTGCATGCATGAGGCCCTGGGTTTGATTCCTCAGCATCACATAAGCAAACAGAAAAAAGCCGGAAGTGACACTGTGGCTCAAGTGGTAGAGCGCTTGCCTTGAGCTGAAGAGCTGAAGGACAGTGCCCAGGCCCAGAGTTCAGGCCCCATAACCAGACCCCCCCCCCCCCAAAAAAAAGGATTACAGTCATCATCATGAGTAGAACTGACACTCAGCAAAATTAAAATTCTGTAAGAATTTTAACATATATCAGGATGTTCCAAAGCAGAAAAACAACATGGTCAGGAATAAAGTAACAAGTTCTAACAAAGGAGGGCAAACTAGAGGCTCAGGAAAGCTCAATGATATGCCCTCTTCTTTCTCACGTGACCTTAGAGAGTTGGTCCCCAGCCTGGTTTTGCTGGGATCCTGGCTTTCATTCAGGGCCTTGGGCTCTCCCCTGGCTTTTTTACTCATAATTGATGCTCTACCACTTAAGCCATGCCTCTAGTTCCAGTTTTTTGCTGGTTAATTAGAGAGAAGAATCTCTCAAGATTTGTCTGCCCTAGCTGGCTGTGAACGCAGTCCTCAGATCTCAGGCTCCTGAGTAGCTAGGATGAAGTGGATGTGATTCTAATTGAACCTGGAGCCAGTGTCCCTACCCAGAACCCCTGCGGGGCTGCTGTGTAGAGTTACAAACCTTCTGAGGAAGGGACCAGGTTTTTAAGTTTCTATTTCTAGTTTTTCATAACAATAAAATCATATACTAGAAATAATTTAATATTTTTTTTTCCAGTCCTGGGGCTTAAACTCAGCCTGGGCGCTGCCAGTTGAGCCACAGAGCCACTTGTGGCTTTTTCTGAGAAGTTTATTGGAGATAAGAGTCTCACAGACTTTCCTGCCTGTGATCCTTAGATCTCATGATCCTTAGATCTCAGCCTCCTGAGTAGCTAGGATTATAGGCGTGAGCCACCCACACCTGGCAGAAATATTCAACTTTTGTTTAAAAAATTATATAAGCAAGGCATGTTGATGCATGCCAGTAATTCCAGCACTCAGGAGACTTAGGCAGGAGGATTGCATGTTTGAGACCAGTAAGTAGTCTCAAACTCATAGTGAGTTTTAGAAAAAAAAGAGACAGAGAGGTTTATATAAAATACACATCTAGGGGCTGGGAAGGTGGCTCAGTGGTAGAGTGCTTGTCTTGCACTCATGAAGCCCTGGGTTCAATTCCTCAGCACCACATAAGCAGAAAAAGCCGGAAGTGGTGCTGTAGCTCAAGTGGTCGAGCACTAGCCTTGAGCTGAAGAGCTGAGGGACAGCGCCCACGCCCAGAGTTCAGGCCCATGACTGACAAAAAAATGAAAAAATAAAATAAAATACACATCTAGATTTCTATTACTAGATTCAAGAGGCATAAATTGCCTTGTCTAAGTGTTCTAAGATTTCTTTTTTTTTTTTTTTTGGGTCCGGTCGTGGGGCCTGAACTCTGGGCCTGGGCGCTGTCCCTCAGCTCTTCAGCTCAAGGCTAGCGCTCTACCACTTGAGCCACAACACCACTTCCGGCTTTTTTCTTTTTGCTTATGTGGTGCTGAGGAATCGAACTCAGGGCCTCATGTATGCAAGGCAAGTGCTCTACCACTGAGCCACCTTCCCAGCCCCTGTTCTCAGATTTTCTAAAGACAAAGTTAATTCCTAAACTTGATCTTTCCTGTAGCAGAAACTTTACAGCCATGGTTGCCAGCCCCAGAGGCTGCCCCAACGTGAGAGGCCAGTCAGGAACTGCTATCTTCCCCAGCACCGTGTTGGGGTGATTCTGGAGGAGGAGAAGGAAAATCCATGGGAACACAGTAGGCTAGCCTGGCCAGCTCCCAGCTCTCCTCTGCCCAGCTCCCACTATTCAAATAGACGTGCTGCCGGAGTTGGTGTGCAGTGGAGATTGTCTTACACACAGCTGGAGACGTGAAAGGTCACAGCCAATTGCAGTCTTTACCCAGGCCCCCTCCATGAGGGCGCCCCTGGGCATACACTGGTCTGCTTAGCACCGTGGAGGACCGGCCAGGTGGCCATCATCTCTGCCTGGGTGGGGTGAGGTCACTGTGGACTCTCTATTGCAGTTTTCCAGGGAGAGGCACATGATGGACAGGACCCCCGAGAGGCTGAAGAAGGAGCTGGAGGAGGAGCTGTTGCTGAGCAGCGAGGACCTGCGCAGCCATGCCTGGTACCACGGCCGCATCCCCCGCCAGGTACCTTGGGCAAGGCCGGAAGGACCCCCCCACCCCTGCAGAACGCTGGGGAGCAAGTCCTGGTTTATCCATCGAGGACTGTATTATGACTACACAGACTGTCTCTAAGGAGACTTTGGGAGAAGCGAAGGTCAGGGGCCCAGATCCATTTCCACAAGTCCTGTGAGCCAGGAAAAGCCAGCGCCCTTGGGGTTGGAGCAGTTGGCAGTCAGCGGGGGGTTCAGATAATTGAGCTCCAGGCCAGCCACTACTGTCCTCTCCCACATGAGCTCGTTCCTTCCTCAGGCAGTGGTTTGCCTTCAGGTGACGACGCTGGCACAGTTTGTGAGCCCCTGCCCCCTCTAGGCTGTAGTGGGACCAGCAAGTAATCACCCACCCATGACCACTGAACTATGACCCATGACCCAGCTATGGGGAAGACAAGGAATAAAACCAACAACCCCAGCCTTACGCCTAGACCCTTACTTTGTGTGATTGTCACCTGTGTGATTGCCATGACTGTTTCTGGTCAATGATATAAAAAATGGACAAGTAGTCTTAAGTCTGTAGGGTTTGAGATATAGAATTTTCCTTGAGGTTTCTTGTTGTTGTTGTTGTTGTTAATCTGGCCAGTCATTAACCAAGAAATAGCATGACTGGAAGTAGAGAGGGAGGGAGGGTAGAGGAAAGGAAGGTACCATGCTGTTATTTTTATTTTTAGTGTAGGAGATTTCTGAGCTCCATCAAATAAGTAATGCTTTTTCCTTTTTTGACCTTGACCTTGCTTTTTTTTTTTTTAAGTTTAAAATTGAACTTAGAAAACATTATCAGGGAGCTGGGAAGGTGGCTCAGTGGTAGAGCGCTTGCCTTGCATGCATGAGGCCCTGGGTTCGATTCCCCAGCACCACATAAGCAAAAAGAAAAAAAGCCGGAAGTGGCACTGTGGCTCAAGTGGTAGAGCGCTAGCCTTGAGCTGAAGAGCTGAGGGACAGCGCCCAGGCCCAGAGTTCAGGCCCCACAACCGGACCCCCCCCCCAAAAAAAAAAGAAAACATTATCAGGGCAGGAGACACCCAGGGTTCAATCTCCAATAACTCCCAGCAAAAAAGATAACTAAGGGGCTGGGAAGGTGGCTCAGTGGTAGAGCACTTGCCTTGCTTGCCTGAGGCCCTGGGTTTGATTCCTCAGAACCATAGAAGCAGAAAAAGCCAGAAGTGGTGCTATGGCTCAAGTGGTAGAGCGCTAGCCTTGAGCTTAAGAGCTGAGGGATAGCGCCCAGGCCCAGAGTTCAGGCCTCACGACCGGACCCCCTCAAGTAGAAGATCATACTCAGATTGTCTTTGTAGCCTGGTGTCTCTATTCCTGAATAAGGGTAGGAATTCTCCCCTGCCACGAGGTCTACCTGTGTCCAGCACCACACGTTATTGGACACTTGGGGGTTCTTACTGCTCTGATCGACATCCTTTAAGATAACTACCATGTTCAAACCTATAATTATTTCTATAGTCCATTCCAAGAAATAGAGTTTCCCTGCAAAAAACATTTTTAAGGCAAAGATGCAATTTTAAGGTAACCATGGTAGCATACTATTCTAAGCTAACAGAAGCATACCACTGATTGAATGTTGGGGGAACAAAAAAATGCCAGGAAAAAAAAAATGTCAGAGTGTATTAAGCTACCAACCATCACTACCATCCTGGTTTACCAGTTGCCATGAGAGTGAAATGCAGTGATCTGTCACTCTGCCCTTGATAACCCAACATTGTAATGATAATAATGCTTTATCCCTTTGAAGCTGTATAGCTCCTCTCTAGGTAATAATGTTCTCCCTATTTTATTGATGCTATAACAGAGCCCCAGAGAAATGACGTAACTTGTCCAGTCATGTCGCTGACGCAGACTACAAACCCAGGCACAGGATAAACACTTCCTGTGCCACCAGCAGTGCCATATCCCAGCATCCTTCAGCATCCACTACAACTCATTTGCACATGCTGCATTTACAGATCCATAGTTCTCACAATAACTCAGATGAGGAACCCCAGCCTGGCTTTGTTCCAACCTTCTAGCGGGTGGCTGCCTTGTCCAGAATCCACCCCTCACCCCCCCCCCCCCCCCCCCCAGTGCCCTAGCCCTGTCTGCAAAGGCCTCCTCCCTCTGGAGAGAGGAGTCTTAGGACATGACTCAGTGAAGAACTTCTGGAGACAAAAACACTCTCATTCTTTCTCCACTGCTTGGGAGAGAAAATCAGACCCACCAGGCACATATTTTCTCTTTTCTTACTTTCTGTTGCTTTCTATCCCTGCAGTCTGGGTCTGGGTCGTTTGGGGTACTCCCCTGACCACCCACTTTTGAAGCACAGCCCACCCAAGCACTCACATCCCAATTTTCTTTTCCTTAATGTCACGAATGTCTGACATACAACGTCTGTGGCTGTTTATCCTAGGATTGAAGCATTGCACTAAAAATAGAAGGTCCCTGAGGGTGTCTACATGGTCACCACTGGGCACATTCCCACTGGTCACTAAATAGTTGTTTTTTGTCACCACATGGCCCAGGCTGACTTTGAACTTAGGATCCACCAGTGTCAGCCTCTCCAGTATTGGGATGATGGATGGACACCGCAATGCCTATCAGTAACGGTCTTTGAATTTGACCCTTGACTGTCTGAAGAAGGGGTGGTCATGCTGTCTTCTGTTGGTACCCTTTGGGCCCACAGGTGTCTGAAAACCTCGTGCAGCGAGACGGTGATTTCCTAGTCCGTGACTCCCTGTCCAGCCCCGGAAACTTTGTCCTGACCTGTCAGTGGAAAAACCTTGCTCAGCACTTCAAGATCAACCGGACCATTCTGCGGCTCAGCGAGGCCTATAGCCGCGTGCAGTACCAGTTCGAGATGGAGAGCTTCGACTCCATCCCAGGCCTGGTGCGCTGCTATGTGGGCAACCGGCGGCCCATCTCCCAGCAGAGCGGCGCCATCATCTTCCAACCCATCAACAGGACGGTGCCCCTGCGGTGCCTGGAGGAGCGCTATGGCACCTCCCCGAGCCGTGCCTGGGAAGGCGGCATCCCCGAAGGAAGACTGGAAGGAAGACTGGACGTGGCCAAAAGGCTAAGTCTCACCATGGGTGGCATCCAGGCCCGAGAGCAGAGCCTGCCCAAGGGAAACCTCCTCAGGTGGGTGAGAGCCTCTTTGGGGGTGTCAGGACTGAGGGGGGAGGGCGAGGCAGCAAGGCTGATGCTAGAGACACAATAAAAGATGGGAGGGTGCCCCGTGAGTAGAATAGCTGTCACGTGGCTGTACACAATTATTCCCCAGCCCAGGGGTTCACGAAGGAGACAGAGGGACACAGAAAAGGGTAAGAGGAGCCCGGAGACAACGGATATGTTGGTCTGGAGACAGTGGGTCCAGAGAAGGGATGGAGAGTGGGCAGAGGCTGTGGGCTCGTGGCCTGTGGCCACGAGTCAGGACTTGAAGACTTGGACTCAGGCTTGGCTCAGATGGATGGGTGGCTGACTCAGGGGTGGTGAGATCTGAAGGTCTGGGATGTGTCGATTGTGGGGAGAGTTGGGGGAGGAGCTGAGGATGGAAAACCAGGGCCTCAGCACAGAGCCAGCTTCCTGGATTTCACGGAGCTGGGCATCCTGTGCCTGCTGGAGAGGGAGGCTAGGATTGGGGAGCACTGTGGCTCCCAGCTTCTGAACTTCTATACATAAACCAGCACTCGCTTGTTTTCTGTCTGGGTCGGGAGGGGGAAAAAGGTCATAAACTGCCATTTCTATACTGCAAAAAAAAATTAGTTTTGCAAAATAGAGGACTGTGTGAGTCACACAAATTACAGCTGTGCTCTCCCCAGCTGTGCTCTAACCCGTGGTACGTGTTAGTCAGCATCTCGGGCTGTGGAGTAGCATGGTTGCCATGCTGGCTCTCCCCTGGCCCATTGTGCAAACCCAAATGAAGGCCTTAACTTCTCTGGGCCTGTTTTTCTTCAGCCAGAAAGCTGGAGCTGTGAGGGTTAAATGTGCGCCATGCAGAACACTTCACACAATGCAGATACAATAAGTACTAGGAAAGTGCTAACGATCTTGATTATTATTATCCGCAGGGGAGGGGAAGGCGGTTATTTAGAAATCCTCTACTTTTTAGTGGAATTGGAGGTGAGATCCCTGAAAACATAAAGGGAGGTTGGGTGCCTGTGGCTACTACTCTGGAGGCTGAGATCTGAGAATCGCCATTCAAAGCCAACCTGGGCAGGAAGGTCCGTGAGATTCCATTAACCACCAGAAAACTGGAAGTGGAGCTGTGGCTCAAAGTGGTAGAGTGCTAGCCTTGAGCAAAAAAAGCTCAGGGATAGCGACCCGGGACCTGAGTTCAAGACCCATGACTACCACCACTGACAACAACAACAAAAAAAAACAGAAAGGGAAACTTCTAACCTCTTAAGGAGCAGTGGGAGCGTGGCTTGCCCCCAGGAGACAGGACGTTAATGTCACAGTTGGAGTGAGAGTTTATTCATTTAATCACGTTTTGGGAAAGTATTTGTTGTTGTTGCTGTTTTTTTTGTGTGTTTGTTTTGTTGTTTTTTTGGTCAGTTATGAGGCTTGAACTCTGGGCCTGGGTGCTGTCCCTCAGCTCTCCAGCTCAAGGTTAGCCTCTACCACTTGAGCCACAGGCCACTTCCGGTTTTCTAGTGGTTTACTGGAGATAAGAGTTTCATGGACTTTCCTGCCCAGGATGGCTTTGAACCTTGATCCTCAGATTTCAGCCTCCTGAGTAGCTAGTATGACAGGCATGAGCCACCAGCGCCTGGCAGTTTTGGTTGTTTTGAGGCAGGGTTTTACTACGCAACTCAGGCAGGCCTTCAATTCTCAACCCCCAGCCTCTGCCTTCTGAGAATACCCACCACACCAAGGTTTAGATGGAAAATAAAAAATTTAAATCTCCTTTATTTTTTTGTGCCATTACAGGGGCTTGAACTCAGGCCCTGGTGCAGTCCATTAGCTTTTTCCACTCAAGGTTAGCACACTACCACTTCAGCCACAGCTCCCTTTCCTGCTTTTTGGTGATTAGTTAGAGATAAGTCTCATGGATTTTTTGCCTACACTCACTTTGAACTGTGATCCTCAGATCTTGAAACCATCTGTTGGCAAAAACAAAACAAAACCCTCTTTTTTTCCAACATAAAACAAAAGACTAAGTAGTAGAAGTCTCTAAGTGGATGAAACTGGCCTGACACGGCCTGGCTGTTGCTCTGATAGCCCTATGGGTATGTGGAACCCCATTATCTCTCAGCCTGCAGGCCCAGAAATGGGTACAGGTGGATCTAGGGGTGGACTGAGCATGAGTGATGGCCTTGACTGCCTGTCCTCTGCCCTGCCTTCCCAGACGTCAGCCCTGGCTCGGGGCCCGCCCACCCTGACGTCAGGTCCTCTGGTTGGCTGGCCAGGCCCCAGCAAAGGTGTGCTGTCCCAGTCAGCCAGGTCTCTGCCTGCCTGCCCAGCTCCAGGCCCCGGGAGTCTGACCTCTGTAATCACGACTCAAATATCATTTCTCAGAAGCGATTTCCTTTTGGAATTTGCCCTGTGTCTTGCCTTATCTCTGAGCGGTTGCTGGACTATCTCTGTTGTTTGGAGTTTGGGGGTTTTATGATTTGGTTTGTTTGATGCTGGCAAAGGTAGGAGAAGACCTTCACCATCTTTGTGACATAGAATGTTCTGTGCTTCTGGGCGGGCCAGCTAATAATCATGCTAACCTGCCTGGTGCCGTGCCATTTTCTCTAGCGAGACAGACCCCAAATGCTGGTGCTAGATAGAGAAGATCCCAAGTGGAGGAATGCTGGCAGATGTGTCAAAGGCCACCTTCGTCTTTCCCTGAGGTCACTGTGCATGGTGACTGGTGGCTTTTTTTAACAGCAGGAAGAGGGGACCGGTCAGGGGGTCCCCCAGCACTCAGGAGCATGGGGTGACAGCCTCCCTTGGGAGTCACTGCAGTCCAGGGTGATGGGGAAAAAAAAAAACAACAGCTTCCTTCCAGCCAACACTGAAGCATGATGGAAAGCACATGCTCACATCCTTCAACGAGTCTTTCTCCCAGTCTTTTAGGCTCTGTTAAAAGTGCACTTTCCAGTTTATCAGATTTTTCCCCAGAGAGGATATCGTGAAACTCTTACCCTGCTCTGTTGAAGAGGATGGAGGCGTCCTAGGACTTAGCTGCCGGTCCCGGGGCTGTGGGTCTTTATTAATGGTCCTATCAGTCATTCCTTCTCGGTGAACATTCCTTCACTGTTAGGGTATGCAAAGTACTCTCGTTCTGGGCAAGTTGTGTTGCTTTGATTTGCTGGGTTTGGGGTTTGTGTTGTTGAGTTTTTGAGTGCTTTTTTTTCCCCTTAGCTTTCCATGACGTTGCCTAAAGGTTTTACTACTTAATGACACGGTTCTGCCCGCTTTGTCTTTGGCTTCAGGAACAGAGAGAAGAGCGGCAGCCAGCCAGCCTGCCTGGACCACATGCAGGACCGGCGGGCGTTGGTCCTCAAAGCTCACCAGTCGGAGAGTCACCTGCCAATCGGTAGGTCTGTGGGAATGCCAGGGAGGGATGGGGGGGAGGGGGAACGACAGTGTGGCCCCAATTTCCTTCAGGCGGCCGCCTTGTTTCATCAAGAGTTTCTAAAAGTCTTAAACCTCCACGACGGTGGCCTGGAGGGGAAAGGACTGGGGGCAACTCTGGTTTTCAAACACTCATCTGCCTACTTTATGCACACTACAAGCAGGCCTGATTATCTCAGGAAACTGAGGTGCAGAGAAGTGAATGAAGGAGAGTCACCTCGTATTTGAACTCAGGTTTTGTGATGTCCATTTGATAACTGGCAGTTTTTAAAGGAAAAAAAAAAAGGTGCTAACTCCTTCGGTCCCCACTTTGGGTTAGGCTGGCCGCCTGGCCCGGCAGCTGTCCACAGGAACCGCCTTTCTCTGGTCTCCTTCCACGAGGAGAAGAGTGATAAGGAAGGGGTGTGGAAATCCAGCAAGCAGTTATGTGACTGGGAGGGGGAAGGGGGTTTGTTCTTTTTACAAATAACTTTCCTCGGAGCCACAGATTGATTTTCCGAGAGCCCCCTTTGTCAAGTGCTTCTGTCATCTGACTGTCACAGGGGTTGTGACAAGCCCCTGGGTCACTAGCTATCTGTTAATACGGGCTGGGATCTGCCCTGGCTCTGGCGGAGAGTGACTCAGGGCCCTTTAAGAAAGTGAGAAAGTCTTGCATTACTCACCATTGTCCTCCGATGTTTCCTGATCTGTGTTTCCCAACCTTGGTGACCATAGAAAGATGTAGCCAGTCGCTGGTGGCTCAACACCTGGAATTCTAGCTGCTTAGGAAGCTGAGAGCTGAGGACTGCGGTTTGAAGCCAGCTGGGGTAGGAAAGTCCATGAGACTCCTATCTGCAATTCACCACCTATAAACCAGAAGTGGAGCTGGGCCGAAGTAGTAGAGTGCCAGCCTTGGGCGTGAGAGCTCAGAGACAGTTCCCAGAACCTTAGTTCCAACCTAGGACACACACACACACACACACACACACACACACACACACACACACAGTATAGGATTGCCCCCCCTCCCCCCCCAAAAAAAATGTGGCATGGGGCCTTGTTAACTCTCTCAGAGAAGTCCGGGTGAGGGGTAGTCCCACTGTGTTCCACCAGCATGTAGTGGCAGGCTGGGCAGCTGTCACTTGAGTTTTGTTTCCCGTTCTCCACACAGCTAATCTTTCCCTGCCCTTCGCTTCTCCTCCACAGGCGGCAAGCTGCCTCCCCAGTGCCCGGGCATGGACACGAGCCCTTGTCCAAACTCACCAGTGTTCAGGACTGGAAGCGAGCCCAGCTTGAGTCCAGCATTGATCCGGAGGGTCTCCTTGGACACTAGGGCGGGGGAGGCTCTGCGGGGATCTGACAGCCAGCTGTGCCCCAAACCACCCCCGAAGCCCTGCAAGGTGCCCTTCCTCAAGGCGCCGCCCTCTCCGTCCTCCTGGCTCAACTCCGACGCCAACTACTGTGAGCTGAACCCAGCCTTTGCCACCGGCTGTGACCGAGGAACAAAGCTGCCCTTGGGGACCCCGGGCAGCCAGGCGGAGCTGCTGACAGCCAGGCAGAATGGGGTGCCGGGTCCCCGGAACTCTGGTATCAACTACTTGATTCTTGATGGGGACGATGGAGCTGGGCCTTGGGAGCCAGCGGTGACACAGGACAGGGCAGAGTTTGTGAAGCCCATCATGGAGACTGTGTCCTCATTCAGGCCCAATGACTTTGAATCCAAGCTCCTCCCTCCGGAGAACAAACCCCTGGAAACAGCCATGCTGAAGCGTGCGAAAGAGCTGTTCACCCAGCACGAGCCCAAGCTCATCGCCCAGCACATGCTGAGCATGGACTGCAAGGTGCGTGATCCGTTCCCCTCCCCTGCCTTCTGAGAGTTCACAGGGAGTCTGTCTGTGTCTGTCTGGCTAGCCGGCTGGCCTCTCCGTACTTTGCCACTGAGGTGCTTTGCTCAGAGAAGTCTGACCCTAACACAGGTGTGGGATTGGTTTACAGGGTGGGAACCATTCTTGGGCAACCTTTGTCCAACAGAAGCTTAGAAACTTCACCCTGGACAGACAGCACAGGGCTGGGACCCCTGCGCCCACTCCTGCTGGTGACCGGAGCTGTTGCAGAATCCTCCTCCCCTGTGGGCTTCTCCCCTTAGAGCTTCTCTCTTGGCCTCAACCCCCTTCAGAACAGGTTGAGCTGGAGCCAAAGGAGAGCAGATTCCACACGCGGATGTCATTTCTGGAGCCGCCATGCCTTGCTTTTTAAAAACTTTTATTATATATTACACATATGCATGATACATGTATGTTGCCACTAAAATGGTCCTTAGGATCGTTACCTTGATGGGTTTGTCGGTTGTGTTCTTTTTTGTTTTTTTCCACAATATTCCCTTTATTGGTATTAATCACAGTTACGAGGCCTTTTTTTTTTTTTTTTTGGGTCCAGTCGTGGGGCCTGAACTCTGGGCCTGGGCACTGTCCCTCAGCTCTTCGGCTCAAGGCTAGCGCTCTACCACTTGAGCCACAGCACCACTTCCGGCTTTTTTTTCTTTTTGCTTATGTGGTGCTGAGGAATCGAACTCAGGGCCTCAGGCATGCAAGGCAAGCGCTCTACCACTGAGCCACCTTCCCAGCCCCGAGGCCTTTTTTTTTTTAAACAATTACTCAATGTAAAAAAATAGTAAGATGGCAGATTAGGTGAAAAGACACATCACACAAAAATGCAGCTTCCTGGTGCTCTCCATTGATTAACGCTTGGTATATGTGAAAATGTTACTTTATCATCATTTGCTCTGCTCATACATACATGTAAACACCCCTTGCTTACCACACCCTGCACTGACCTGGAGATACCTTCCACACCCAGTCTTTCATTGAACAACCCATCATGGCTGACATGCCGTAAGACTGAATACATGTGCTGATGTCATGGACCCTGTGTATGTATGTGTGTGTGCACGTTGGCATGGCTGCCAGTACTAGAGCTTCAACTCATGGCCTCATGCTCTTCTTTTCACTTTTTGCCTCAAGCCTGGATCTCTACCACTTGAATCACATTTCCACTTCTAAACTTTTCCTGCATTGATTGGAAATAAAGAGTCTTACAGGCTTTTCTCCCCAGATTGGCTTTGAACCATGATCCTCAGATCTCAGCCTCCTGAGTAAGCTGGGATTACAGTTGAGGGCCACCTGTATCTGAATATCATAGTTACTTTTGACAGGAAATAGTTCTTTCAGGTTTGGGTGACATTTTGTTCACAGGTAGTTTCCAAGGAGACTTATCCTTCAGAGAGATCATATGTGTCACAGGCTGAGATGACTCCTGATTTTTTTATGTACACCAGTCCTGGGGTTTAAACTCAGGGCCTGGACTCTGTTCCTGAGTTTGTTTTGCTCAAGGCTAGTGCTCTATCACTTGAACCACAGCTTCACTTCCAGCTTTTATTTTTGGTGGTGGTTTAGTGGAGATAACAATCTCATAGGCTTTCCTGCTCAGGCTGGCTTTGAACCCAGATCCCAGATCTCAGTCTCCTGGGTAGCTAGGATTACGGGTGTGAGCCACTGACGTCTAGTTTGTCCCTTGGTATTTGATAAGGCCTCAGTGAAATTTAAAGCTTTTAAAAAATTATTTAAAACCCCTTTTAATTCCAGGTAAGGAAACTCTGTCAGCTTCAAAGGTCAGGGCTTATTTAAGAACTGGATTTTCTTCCCAAGTCAGGAATCATGTCTAAAAATCCAGCCCCTGAGGACTCTGCGGAAGTTCTGCAGTTGATTAAGGAATCCACGGAGCTGCCAAGGGGGCCAGCTATTAGGTAATTACTGATTGCCCTGAGAGCAAAAAGTCCCCTCTGGAGACAACCACCAGTAACTAGTGTACCCCATTACTCAGCCTGGAGGGGGGGTAGGGGCTACTAAGCAAGCCCTGAGAATGAAGCCAGGAAATGGCCGCTCTAGAAAAGTAAGGCTTGCAGACTCCGTTGGCCAGGTGCTATGTCAAACTCTTAACTTCACTTGAGGTAATCTGTCCAAAGGTAAAAAGGATTGAGGATTTCTGACCAGCAAGTCCTTCCCGCTGCGCCCCAGATCTGAGCGAAGGGCCATGCGAATAGGCCAGAGGTGACATTCTTCCTTGTAGCTGGCTGGGAACCTGCCTGACTTCCATACAGGAAGCTCCTGCTGGAAACGCGCTGGATGACTGAACAGCTTGTTGATGGTCTAGGCAGGAGGAGATGCCTGCCCCTTGCAGGAAGTCTCCAACCTTCCCATAGTCTTTGACAGCCATGAAACTACAGCCTGAGTGGGAACTGAACCTGATCTCAATTGGACAGCGTGCCGTCTGTCTTTGGGTGTCCCTGAGAGGGTCCCCAGAAAGTGAGGAGGAGCCAGCCCCACCGAAGCCCGGGGCCATGTGCAGCCCTCCCTCTTCCTCCACTACTTCCTGTTCTTGTCCTAGAACCAGGGTTCCTAACAAGAAAGGCGTTCCCCTCCTCAAATGCAGCTACACAGGGCTACCAGGTGCCAGGAGCCGGTACGGGACAGCATCTGGGGCCCACCTGCCCATTCCCGCCCATGCCCACAGCCTGGGTGCAGATGCTCATGGAGGCCAACAGAACAATGGGTGGTCATGAGGGCTGTGTTGGCCCTGCCTGGCTGGTGGAGGCTGGTCCTCTCCCCCTTCGGGGCCTGGTTAGGAGCTAGGAGCCCCGCCAACTCTGTGTGCAGGCGCTGGCCACCCTGTGCTTCTAGAGCTCAGCCATTCTCCCACCTGCTTGTCTTTGCCCAGTGAGGCCCAGTGGTTTCAGAGCGTGGCCCCTGGGCCTGAACTGCCTGAGTCCCACAGTTGCCACCTCAGCCGCATGGCTGGCTCTCTCTGTTCCCACCAGGAAGACCAGATTTGAGCTCTCCCAGGTGGCCTGCCAGGTGAAGACGAAGTGAAATGATACGTGTAATGCCCTGGGCACTGTGCCTGGCCTACCATGTGTCTAAGCAATGATTATGTTAGGTCTTCAGCCTACATGGGGCATGTGTGGTATGCCAGGCTAGCCCCTTCCTTGAAGGGGACCATACTGGGGTGAGGTAAAAAGGGACAGTAGCCGGGTGCCGGTGGCTCACACCTGTCAGCTACTCAGTAGGCTGCGAATCTGAGGAATATGGTTCAAAGCCAGCCTGGACATGAAAGGCCGTGAGACTCTTGGCTCCAATTAAGCATCAAAAGGCAAGAAGTAGAGATGTGCTGTAAGTGGTAGAGCTCTACCCTTGAGCAAAAAAAAAGCCCAGGGACAGCAGCTAGACCCTGCGTTCAAGCCCCGGGACTGGCAGAAGGAAAGAGAGACAGAGACAAGATTTGGTGATTTGGGAACTTGAACCACTGTCCCACAGGAGCTGTGGTCCCTTGGATGAGGGGTAGGGGCAGGGAGGGTCTGGGATATGTTTGGAAGTCTGCATAGCTGGCAGGTGAATGCAGGAAGATCGTGGCAGCAGCAGGAAGTGTATGTGGAGACGCGCAGATCAAAGATGAGGACCGGGGGCTGGGAAGGTGGCTCAATGGTAGAGCGTTTACCTTGCATGCTTGAGGCCCTGGGTTCGATTCCTCAGCACCACATAAGCAAAAAGAAAAAAAGCTGGAAGTGACGCTGTGGCTCAAGTGGTAGAGCGCTAGCCTTGAGCTGAAGAGCTGAGGGACAGCGCCTAGGCTCAGAGTTCAGGCCCCACGACCGGACCCAAAATAAAACAAAGATGAGGACCGGGTAGAATAGGGAGGGCCTGGTGGTCTCCCTTTCAGAGTTCCTAAGCTTTTACCTCTGGGTTCACACTAGGTCTCTGCCAGCAAAGCACTTTACCAGTAACCGAGGGACAGACCCATAGAAATAGGGGTGCAGATCTGAGTCTTCTGTGCTGTGGGCAGAGACGATGATCAGGCCAGGTGATCTCACTGCATTCTAGAAGGCCCCATGGCAGCCAGCAGCCTCTGAGGCAGTGGGACGAGGAGGAATGGGTGAACTAGGAGATTCAGCAGCTCGGGTAACAAGACTGGGAGAGCAAAGGGAGTCAGGGACACCTTGTCAGGGGCCTCTCCACCCCCCCCCCCCCCATCCTGCTGGACTCAGCCTGCCATAAGTACTGTGTAAGTGCTCCTTCCTCTGTGAGTCCTGACACCTAACCTAGGTCCCGCAGTTGGGCTCTGAGTCACCTTGGTTTGTAGCTCAGCCAAGACATGCAGGTGCAGTCAGGAAAGGGACCCAGAGACGACACAGTGGCGTAGGAGACAAATTGGAGACAAAATTGGGACCCCAGAATGCTGCTAATAATTCCAGAACAAAACCGAATCAGTGTCCAACCTTGAAATCTAGGGATTAGAACTCGAGATACAGGCTAGAACCCTCTGACAGGACCACTGCCTAGACGCGTGTACTCAAGCATAAATACCATGTAAGAATCCTTTTGGGGCTGGGAAGGTGGCTCAGTGATAGAGCGCTTGCCTTGCATGCATGAGGCCCTGGGTTCGATTCCTCAGCACCACATAAGCAAAAAGAAAAAAGCCGGAAGTGGCACTGTGGCTCAAGTGGTAGAGTGCTAGCCTTGAGCTGAAGAGCTGAGGGACAGTGCCCAGGCCCAGAGTTCAGGCCCCACGACTGGACCCAAAAACAAAACAAAAAAAGAATCCTTTCAAACATGTATGCTCACAAAGAAATTCAAGCTGGGCACTGGTGGCTCATGCCTGTAACCCTAAGCTATTCAGGAGACTGAGAACTGAGGATCGCAGTTCAAAGCCAGCCCAGGCAGGAAAGTCTGTAAGACTCTTACCTCCAATGAGCCACCAGAAAACTGGCAAGTGGAGCTGTGGCTCAAAGTAGTAGAGCACTAGCTTTGAACAAAAGAGCTCAGGGACAGCACCTAGGTCCTAAGTTCAAGCCCCACAACCGACCAAAAAAAAGCAACAACAAAAAACAATTACAGTCCATCTACAGTGGCTCAGTTTAGGGGCTTTTTTTTTTCTCTTTTCACACATGAGGCCTGTTTTTGGAGCTGCCCCTAGGCAGGGTGCTAAGGTGTTAAGTCTCTTTGCTAAGTTCCAGCCAGAACCTTCCCTTCCCAGTAGTGAGTCACAACTTAGATTTTCAAATAGCTTTTGGGGGGTTGGACTTTTTTTTTTTTTTAACTCATTTGCAAAGTCCTCAAGAGAGATGAACTTAGTAGTTGTGTTACAAAAGGGGAAACTGAGGCCAGTGGGCAAAATTGAAAATGCAATGTGGATTCTGCATTGCATTCTGATGTCCGCCCCTGGGCAGCCAGTCCTGCAGGCTTCTCTCCCAGGGTGGACAGCGGTTTTCCTTTGCTCAACCACAGAAGTTAAAAGGTCAGGGTTAATAACACCAGCTGGACTTCCAGATGTTCCTTTGTGGTCTATTATGCACATCTGCACTGCTCAGATGCCTGGGATCATTATTACTGGAAGACAGCCCACCAGATGCAGGCGAGGAACTGTCCAGATTTGCTTAGCCCCATTTTCGGAACTGACTCTGGTATAGCATATCAGCCAATGGCCAACTAAGTGCCTGATTTTGAGAAACTGGGATTGCAAAGTAGAATCGAGATGTGGTGAGGGCTGCTTGGAACAAGAAAATTTTCTTTCAAGGAAACCCTCTCAGGAGGCGGCCACAGGTATGTTTGAGACCATAGGGTTTTTAATCACTATATACGTTTTTAATAGTTTCCAGACATACAGCATGTGAGCTGCACCCAGGAGAGGCATCATTAAGGGCAATAGCAGCCAGCCATGGCTGTGCAGTGAGAACATGAATGACATGAATGGCAAAGCCTGGGGCTGACGCCAGCATGGGTGGGATTCCACTGCTCCTCTGCAGAGGAGGGCCTTCCTGCTGCTGGCAGGATCCAGCTTCAAGCAACTACATTGTTCTCTTGCTGGATAAGAACACATGCCAAACCTGTAGACCAGTTTAGGAGTTTCCCTTTGGCTTTCTTTTTCCCTTTCAGCTTTATATCTGTGTGTGTGTGTGTGTGTGTGTGTGTGTGTAAGTTAACCCAAATATCATATAAGAATCATACTTTTAGGCACAGTTGTTCATACATTCAACAATTAAAGTCTCTCTCTCCAGTGGTCCAGGTTAGGGGATTCCTTGCCATGTGATGAATCTAGCTGGCGCCAGCACCAGCAAGATTTATCATATGGCGGGGCGCCAGTGGCTCATGCCTGTAATCCTAGCTACTGAGGAGGCTGAGATCTGAGGATCATGGCTCAAAGCCAGCCCCCAGGCAGAAAAGTCTGTGAGACTGTTGGTTGTGGGGCTTGAACTCTGGGCTTGGGTGCTGTCCGTGCGCTCTTCAGCTCAAGGCTAGCGCACTACTGCTTGAGCCGCAGCACCATTTCTGGTTTTCTAGTGGTTTACTGGAGATAAGAGTCTCACGGACTTTCCTGCCCGGACTGGCTTTGAACCGTGATCCTTAGATCTCAGCCTCCTGAGTAGCTAGGATTACAGGCGTGAGCCACTGGTGCCCAGCAATGAGACTCTTATCTCCAATTAACCACTAGAAAACTGGAAGTGATGCTGTGGCTCAAGCGGTAGAGTGCTCAGCTTGAGCTGAAGAGTACAGGGACAGTGCCCAGGCCCAGAGTTCAACCCCCATGACCGACAAAGAAAAAAAAAAAAGGTTCATCACATGGAAAGAAATCCCCTCTTCTAACCCAGTGAATTTGAACTTGGCCTCCCACAGGTTGCTAGGATACTCGAAGTCTCAGAAGAGACGAAGAGGAACATGGGTGTGAGCTCAGGGCTGGAACTCATCACCTTGCCTCACGGGCACCAGCTGCGCCTGGACATCATGGAAAGGTGAGCAACGCTGGCCGAATTTCCCATCCTTTCAACTCCCTGCAGGCCCCGGCCCCAGGGGCCTGTCAGTTCAAGGTTTGTGCTTGGTACTGGAGGCTCTTCTCAGAAGCCCAAGCTAGAGATTTCCTGGAGTAATACCTAGACGAGCCAGGGACAAGAACACCAAGGTGGATGGTGAGACACATTCTGCTGCTATCTGGCCGGCCTGGAGCCTCGGAGATCTTCTACCGCCTCTGGCTGACTCATGAAATGCATGCCTTTGCCACTTTGGAGCTTAAGGTTGCTTGAGAAATTAAATGGGAGCTGGGAAAGGTTGGGAAGAACAAATTCTCAACAATTTCTTTAAGGGATGGACTAATGAGGGAGGTCAGGGGTGCCAGGGCTCAGAAAGTCTTAGGCCCTGAGTACCTGAGTGAGGCCTATTTTTAAAAGGTATAAGACTTAGCCGGGCTGGGAAGGTGGCTCAGTGGTAAAGTGCTTGCCTTGCATGCATAAGGCCCTGGGTTCAATTCCTCAGCACCACATAAGCAGGAAAAAAAAGGCCGGAAGTGGTGCTGTGGCTCAAGTGGTCAGAGTGCTAGCCTTGAGCTAAAGAGCTGAGGAACAGTGCCCAGGCCCAGAGTTCAGGCCCCACGACCTGATTACCCCCCTCCCCCCCAAAAAAGATTTAGCCATATCTTGCCTATATAATTGTAACCCCTCTGTACAGTATTTTCACAATTTAAAAAAAAAAGACTTGGCCTGGTCACCAGTGGCTCACACCTGTTACCCTAGCTATTCAGGAGGTTGAGATCTGAGGATCACAGTTCAAAGCCAACCCCGTCAGAAAAGTCTGTAAGACTCTGATCTCCAATTAACCACTAGAAAACTGGAAGTGGTGCTATGGCTCAAAGTGGTAGCATACTAGCCTTGAGTGAAAAAGCTCAGAAATAGCACCCCAGCCCTGAGTTCAAGCTCCATGACCAAAGACTAGATTTACCTATTGTCACAAGAACTGGCCTTTTTGACAACACACACACACACAGCTAATTTGGGCAAGATATCTTAAGTTTTCTGCTCAATGACCCAGTGACCGTGACTGGTGTCCCCAGAGCTTTCTATATTCTTGATCACAGCACTGGCTAGGCAAGGACAGGGAAGGACAGAACAGGACAGGAATATCCTTAATAGAGCTGGCAATGATAGAAGTAGCTAGGCACAGGCAGTTGGCTTATTGAGCGCCTAAAATGTGGTTAATTTACCTGGGGAAGAACACTTAAATTTCCTACTTTAAGTGTAAGTTGAACGTGCTAATGGTTGGTAGCTTCTGAAAGATAATGCTGCATTTCACACTGAATGAATACCACAAATGGTAAACATATACTTTAGGTGTTAAATGGAGGTCTTTAATCAAAAGAGTAACCTAGAGCCAGGCACTGGTGGCTCACACCTGTAATCCTAGCTACTCAGGAGGCTGAGATCTGAGGATCCGTGATCAAAGCCAAACCAGGCAGGAAAGTCCCATGAAATTCTTACCTCCAATCAACCACTAGAAAACTGGAAGTGGGGCTGTGGCTCAAACTGATAGAGGGCTCTTGAGCAAAAGAGCTCAGGGATAGCACCCAGTTCCCATAGCTGTAGATGCCTCCAGTCAACCACATCAGGATGGTGAGGGAGGACAAAGGAAAAAGGCTAGCAGACTTTGTTCAGGCACGCCCAGGGTGTAAGGCTGTGGGAAATTACAGACCTGACTTCCAAACTGCCCTACTTTTCCTAAGAAAGCTTCTAGAGGTTAGCCTTTTTTTCCTTGTACAGGGACCTGGCCTCTGTTACACTGACTTCCGGTCTGTTGTTTGGAATGGTTACCCCTCCTTTGCTCCCACCTCTCCTGAGAAACAGCATGGCCTGAAATGTCCCCAGGTTGGAGGTCTAATGAACCTGAGCCTTATTTCTCAGTATTGTTGGGTGAATGTGGGCATGGGTTCTGGGCCAGGCTATAGGCAGGTTTGGAGCTTTTCTCTTGGCTGTTTCCTGACTGCACTTTTGTTAACATCCTTTGCTTTTTCTTCTCCCTGATTGCTGTTTGTGGGGAGTCTCACTCAGCTAGTTTCCCGCCCAAGAATGAGTGACTTGTAGGGTGATCCTGCTGTACCTAGGGTGTGGTTTGATTACCGTGTGCTAAGTAAAGGCCAGGGCCACAGAGTCCTGAGCTATGGAATGACATCATTCTCTTCCCTTTGAGACTCAAATATGAAACACCCTTGACTTTTCACTTAGTACCCCAGCCATCTACCCCAGCTGCACGGAGCCAAAAGCATCTTCCGTGTACCACACAGCTGCACGTTCAGCTGTGAACCTTCACAGCTGAATGCAATTCCAGAGTTTCAAAGGCCTGACGTGTTTAAATAACGACAGCTATAAAGTTACCTCCAGCCCTTGTCCGGCAGCCCAGGACAAATTTAATTTGGGCAATTCCGGCCCAGGGCCTGGATTTACAGCCTAAGTGTGCTTCCTGCCACCAACTGACCCCTATTCATAGTAGTTTTATTGTCACTAATAGAAAAGCTCCCCCTGCTTCCTGCCCTGGGTCTGGGAGGTTGACCCATGGAGTTTGAGACGAGAAAAGGAAAGATTGTTGGGGGAATTAAGATTCTGACTTTATTAGGGTCTGAACAGATAGCAGATTACTGCCCAGTAGCTATTCAAGCTGCCTTTACCGCTCCATTCACGTGGTGGCCTTTTGATTGGGGCTGCAGAATTCCATCTGAGTGCCTTTCCTTCCTGGATCAAGCACAGTCCTCTCATGTTTCTGGCCTTTCCTTTCCCAGGTGGTTCAGGGCTTGTGGCGCCTCAGGGCAAAGACGCCTTATGTGTGTGGAGGGATCCTGGTGTCTCTTTGGATCTCTGGTGGTGGGGGTAGAGGCCAAGTAGCCACTTATTACGCAGCACTGCCCCGAGAGTTCCTCTTCCTGTCCCCAGATCCAGGGCTGAACTTGGCCCTGAGAGCGTCTTGCTTTTGATGTCTAACCCTGGCACATCCCACTCTGTGGAGATCAGCCTTTCAAACGGACCTGCCAGCACATTGTACAACAATCGGCACACACACACAGCCCTGTTTCTGGTGCATTTGGTATCTTTTTCTCCCAGTCTCACTGACCCAAGGCTGACCATGACCTCCTCCCTCTCAGACACAACACGATGGCCATCGGGATTGCCGTGGACATTCTGGGCTGCACGGGCACCCTGGAGGACCGAGCGGCCACCCTCGACAGGATCATTCAGGTGGCAGTGGAGCTGAAAGATGCCATGGGAGATCTGTATTCTTTCTCAGCCATCATGAAAGCCCTGGAAATGCCCCAGGTAAGGCACCTGCTTTGTGCAGCCCTCGGGGCTTTCCAGAGGTCTTGCACGCCCATGCTTGAGAAATCACAAGCTATTCTGTTGATCTCTAAAGCTAAACTGAATCTTTGCAAAACCTGTGTTAGCAGCAACCTAGAGCATGTACCCAGGTCTTTGGTTCTGTTTATGAAAACAGTGGACAACTGCTGCCAGTCCCAGCTTTGTCTCTGATGTATACTCACTCACAAGAATTATCCTCAGGAACAATCAGTGCTCCTTAGAACCAGCTGGAACAGGCCGCGGGCTGCAGTGTGTTATGAATCGGAGAGGCTGCCCCGCCTGCGTCCCCAGGCGCCTGGCTAATGATGGCAGTGTCTTCAAGTCACCTAAAACAGACTTGCTGATTAAAAATTCATGTCCCTGGCTCACTCATCGTATTGCTCCCTAATAGAATTTCTAAAATTGAGCCTTTGAATTGATCTGTATTGGAAAGGTGTTTTAAGATGGATGTGCAACATGAAGATCTGCATTTGAAATCAATCAGGCCTCCAAGAGGAAAAGTTGCCTGCTGCCTTTACGGCTCAGAATGGGCTTTCCAATTTCTGTCCACTCCAAAAAGTCCCTGTGTGTGTGTGTGCACGCTCACGTGCTGGTCTTGGAGCTTGAACTCAAGGCCTGGGTGCTATCCCTGAACACTTTGGCTGAAGGCTAGCTAGCACTCTACCATTTGAGCCACATTTCCACTTCTGGCTTTTTGGTGGTTATGGTGATAAGAATATCATGGACTTTCTTCCCCAGGCTGGCTTTAAACCTTGATCCTCAGATTTCAGCCTCCTGAGTAGCTAGGATTACAGGTATGAGCCATTGATGTACAGCTTCTTCGCGGACTCGAGTTTGAAATTACAGTCTTTTAAACCAGGTCTACAACCAGTAACACCCAGACTACTACTGGTTTAGTTTGAGAGCCACACACAGTCTCTGAAATCTTGCCATGAGTTCACTGAAAATCCATCATTGCACTCAAAGACACAGCTACAATCACAAGTCCTGCAAGTTAGAACATGGGAGGAACTTAATTTCCCCAGTTAAAGCAACATCATCTTATAAACAAGAAACTGAACAACGATGTTCCTTCTTCAAAATTCTGGGGAGGCTCAACTGCAGTTACAATATTACAAGAGCTTTCAAAGTCTTCAGATGCACTAGAATTTTGCAAGGCCAGTATTTAAAATAAGCAGTACATAAGGCCTGCCCTATTTCCAGGATTCCTACCATAAGAAGAGCTATACATTTTCATTAAATTTGCATCTTTTCCCTTCTCCAGAACAACCTATCATTTTTCCATCAGAGCCACAGGCTGAGCTGTGGGTAAAGGCTCTGGCCTGAGCTTCCTCTTTGAGGAACTCTGTGGGGTCACATGGATGCTGTCTATGACGTCACCCTCAGCAGTTAGGGACTTATCCCAAACACACCAAGTGCCTTCATGGGGGCTTCAGTGATGTCAGACCTTTCTCTCCTGGAGACTCTCAATGATGGGGGTTGGGGGAATACCAGCCTCTGAGGTACCCAGGGCCTGAGGTGAGCCATGGAGAAGGAAGTGCCAAACTGGGAAAAACCCAAGAAAAGAGTCCCTCCTACCACACCCAGGACAGCCTCACCCTCTCTTGGAAAGAGAGCTGTGGCCAGGGGGTTAGCAGGGAGGGGCTACAAGAGGACCCATGGTTGGCCAGAGGAAGACTAGCCACAGATCTGCTTCATCTTGAAGTACAAAGGGGACATGGAGGCCAAGGAAAAGGAATCTAAGCTCTACCACTCACCAGCTGGGAAATCCCCAGCTGTTATCTGATCTATTGCTCGTTTTCTGATCAGTAAAACAAGCCCCACACACCTGCATCATAGGGGTATTGTGAGGATTAGGAAATTCTTCAAATACCTCATTCCCACGGCTTCCTTGTTTCATGTAATCATGAGGGACCATTTAGGATGCATGTGCCAGTGTCCACATGACTCCAAAAGAAATGAATGAGCCCGGTGCTGGTGGCTCACGCCTGTAATCCTAGCTACTCAGGAGGCTGAGATCTGAGGATCACGATTCAAAAGCAGCCCAGGCAGGAAAGTCTGTGAGACTCTTATCTCCAATAAACCACCCAAAAACTGGAAGTGGCACTGTGGCTTAAGTGGTAGAGCGCTCACCTTGAGCTGAAAAGCTCAGGGACAGTGCCCTAGCCCAGAGTTCAAGCCCCACGACTGACACTCCCCCCCCAAAAAAAAGAATGAGCAGAGGTAATGCATGACCTGAGCCACCTTCTGTGTCTCACATTATGTACAAGCACTATTACAATGTTTTGTATCAGGCCGGGCACCAGTGGTTCATGCCTGTCATCCTAGCTACTTAGGAGGCTGAGATCAAAACCAGCCTAGGCAGGAAAGCCCATGAGAGACTCATCTCCAGCTAATCACCAAAAAAGCCAGAAGTAGAGCTATAGTTAAACTGGTAGAGTGCTAGCCTTGAGTATGTATGTATGTATGTATGTGCATCTAACAGGGATAATGCCTAGGCCCCAAGTTCAAGCCCCAGGACCAGCACACACACCTACCTCTGTGGGACATACAGGAACATGAGTCAGCATTTAACTCTATGCACTTGTGGTCAGCAGCAGTTCCTGGAAACTTACCTTCCAGATTATTTTCACTCAGATACACATTTGTAAAAAACACCACAAGGTCATTTTGTAACAGCAGAATAGGCTTAAACCTTTTACGTCTACACTAAACTAGTTTATCCATATGATGGAGCATTATACACAAGTTAAAAAAAAACCAAAGTTATTCTATTGAACCATTTTTCCTGTGGAACCATTTCCAAGCCAGGAATAACTCCATCTACAGTATGATGCACGTATTTTAAAAGATGTGGTGTATAGACATTTGCACACACAGGAGTGGGGAGAGCTGTTTCTTTGGGATGGGCCATCAGAGCAAAAAGGTGAGGTAGGAGATATCTTTTTCTCTACTCACAATTGCTTGTGACATTTTGACCATGCACATTATCTATTACCAAACTTAAGCAGAAGGATAACTGTGTGTGTGTGGGTGAGTGTGTGTGTGTGTACACAAGCCAGTACTGGGGATTGAACTCTCAAGAGCCTAGTGATCTTAGCTTTTTCACTTATGGCTGGCACTCTACCACTTGAACCATAGTTCTACTTCCTGCTTTTTGCTGGTTAACCCAGATGAACTAGAGTTGTTTTCCTGGCAGTCCAGGAGCCTAGATCCTCAGATCTTAACCCTCCTAAGTATCTATTTTTACAGGCATGAGCCACTGGCATCAAGCAGAAAGATACTTTTAAAAAAGAGCTTTTGGGCCGGGCACTGGTGGCTCACGCCTGTAATCCTAGCTACTCAGGAGGCTGAGATCTGAGGATCTCGGTTCAAAGCGAGCCGGGGCAGGAAAGTCTGTGAGACTCTTATCTCCAATAAACCACTAGAGAACTGGAAGTGGTGCTGTGGCTCAAGTGGTAGAGCACTCGCCTTGAGCTGAAGAGCTGAGGGACAGCGCCCAAGCCTAGAGTTCAAGCCCTACGACCGACCAAAAGAAAAAAGAGCTTTTGGGGCTGGGAATGTGGCTTGGTGGTACAGTGCTTGCCTAGCAGGCATGAGGCTCTGGGTTCAATTCCTTCATACCACGTAAATAAAAATTTTTAAAAATGAAAGAGCTTTTTCTAAATACTAGCACCTTTATTGCTTCTAGATCACCAGATTAGAAAAAACCTGGATGGCCCTGAGGCACCATTTCACCCAGACTGCCATTCTCTATGAGAAGCAGCTGAAGCCCTTCAGCAAGATCCTACATGAGGGGCGAGGTGAGCAGGGGGAGAGGAGAGGGGGGAAGAGAGGGGAGGGAAGAAGAAAGGGGAGAGGGGAGAGGAGAGTGGATGCTGCCCCTCAAGAGTCAGTTTGTTAGCTTGTATCTGTTCAGTTTGTCAAAGCAGATACTAGGGCCCAGAGTGAGGCCTTCTATTGTATGCAGGGCAGGCTGTGGGAGGTTCATGGAGGCATTGGGAGCAGAGGACAGCATCACCTGAAGAAATGTCTGCAGATACAAGTATCTTATGGCTCAGTGATAGACTGCTTCCCTTGCATGCATGAGGCCCTGGGTTGGATTCCTCAGCACCACTAAGCAGAAAAAAACGGAAGTGGTACTGTGGCTCAAGCGGTAGGGCCCTAGCCTTGAGCTGAAGAGCTGAGGGACAGCACCCAGGCCCAGAGTTCAAGCCCCATGACCAACAAAAAAGAAAAAAAGAAACCTCTGAGAGTCACTTTGTTCTGTGACTTTCAACAAAACCTAATAGGGAAAACTTTACTCCTTGTTCCTCAGAGAACACGTGTGTCCCGCCAAACAACATATCAGTTCCACTGCTGATGCCTCTTGTCACCTTAATGGAGCGCCAGGCTGTCACATTTGAAGGAACTGACATGTGGGAAAAAAATGACCAAAGCTGTGAAATGATGCTGAACCACTTGGCCACAGCCCGCTTCATGGCTGAGGCTGCAGACAGCTACCGGATGAATGCAGAGAGGGTCCTGGCAGGTAGGAACTGCATTTTTTAATTGGGATGAATGACGGAGCACAGTTATCTAACTGCCAGGGGCTGGGAATGTGTCTTAGTGGTAGAGTGTTTGTCTAGCATGCATGAAGCTCTAGGTTTGATTTCTCAGTGCCACATACACAGAAAAAGCTGGAAATGGTGCTGAGGCTCATGTGGTAGAGTGCTAGCCTTGAGCAAAAGAAGCTCAGGAACAGTGCCCAGGCCCTGAGTTCAAGTCCCAGTACTGGCCAAAGAAAAAGGGCAACACAGTGCTCTTAGAAGCAACTGATTGGGTCATGTGGAGAAAACTTCCAGAAGGAAAAAAATATGTATCACAATGACAGTTAAAACACAGAAGTAGTTATCCAGAAAACATGAGAAGGACAGGATTCCATTTCAGAGGACAGAACACAAACTCATAAAAGAGCTTGGACCTGAGCCATGGCCACCTAGGCTAAAGACACAGGGAGTCCAGCTCTCGGTGAAGGGAGAGAGTTGCCCTGGTTCTGTGGAGGGGACAGGCATTACCATGGCAGTGATCAGGTGATGAATTTTTAAACTCTTCCAAGACCCACCCTTTGATCGATGAGTTGCTGAGCTGTCTGCGACAGGACAAGCCTATCATTTTCTCTTAAAAGGAGGTTGTTGCCTCAGAGCCACAATTTAGATCTGCAGAGTTTGCACTGTCTGCTGTAGGTACCAGTACCATAGACCTGTTTCTCCCCGCCTTCCTCAAGATGTTACGATCTGGGTGGTGGGAGTACATTTATATTCCAGCAACAGTGAGGGATGAGGACCACACAGCTTTCCCGCTCCTCTGGTAGAGCTGCCTGAGCATCTTCCTTAAAACCAGAACTGCGGATCAAGAAATAGGCCCATATAAATGATTTTTGACAACGGTGCCAAGATAATTCACTCGATAAAATAGAATTCAAGCCGGGTGCCAGTGGCCCACACCTATAATCCTAGCTACCCAAGAGGAAGAGATCTGGAGATCAAGGTTCAAAGCCAGCCAAGGCAGGAAAATCCATGAGACTCTTAACCACCAAAAAGCTAGAAGTGCAGCTGTGGCTCAAGTGGTAAAGCACTAGCCTAGAACACAGAAGTTCAGGGACAGCATACAGGCCCTGAGTTCAAGCTCCAGTACCAACACACACACACACACACACACGCACGCACGCACGCACGCACGCATCTGAATCCTTACATCATATAATACACAATAATCAATCCAAAATGCATCATAGACCCAAAATATAAAAGCTAGAGTATAATGAAACATAGGGGCTGGGAAGGTGGCTCAGTGGTAGAGCGCTTGCCTTGCATGCATGAGGCCCTGGGTTCGATTCCTCAGCACCACATAAGCAGAAAAAAAGCCAGAAGTGGCATTGTGGCTCAAGTGGTAGAGTGCTAGTCTTGAGCTGAAGAGCTGAGGGACAGCGCCCAGGCCCAGAATTCAGGCCCACGACCGGACCCAAAGAAAACATAAAATATTTGTAGTCTTGATTTAGGCAAAGATGATTAGAAAAATGTTTTCCCTGGCTGGGAAGTTGGCTCAGTAGTAGAGCGCTTGCCTTGCATGCCTGAGGCCCTGGGTTCGATTCCTCAGCACCACATAAGCAAAAAGAAAAAAGCCAGAAGTGGTGCTGTGGCTCAAGTGGTAGAGTGCTAGCCTTGAACTGAAGAGTTGAGGGACAGCGCCCAGGCCCAGAGTTCAGGCCCCACGACCGGACCCAAAAAAAAAAACAAAAAAAAATGTTTTCCCTTCAAAACTAAGTGAAAAAGTGAGACGCACACTAGGGGAAAATACTTTATAAAAGTATATGATAATGGGCTGGGAAGGTGGCTCAGTGGTAGAACGCTTGCCTTGCATGCATGAGGCCCTGGGTTCGATTCCTCAGCACCCATAAGCAAAAAGAAAAAAAGCCGGAAGTGGCGCCGTGGCTCAAGTGGTAGAGCGCTAGCCTTGAGCTGAAGAGCTGAGGGATAGCACCCAGGCCCAGAGTTCAGGCCCATGACCGGACCCCCCCCCCCCCAAAAAAAACAAAAGTATATGATAATGACATACTCTAAATATCAACCTCTTTACAATGTGAGAAAACAGTATTTAAATAGAAAAATTAAAAAGACTTGAACAGACACCCCATCAGAGAAGATATACAAATTGCAACCACGTGAAAGATTCATAATCATTAGAGAAATGTAAGTTTGAGTCACAATAAGATACTACCTCATTATACATAGAATGGCTATTAAACACCCCCCCCCCAAAAAAAAATGGTTATACATGAAGGAAATGGCCCCTATGTTGCTGGTGCAAATATAACATGGAACAACCATTTTGGAATAGTTGGAACTCAGGACCTGGGTGCTGTCCCTGAGTTTTTGGGCTCAAGGCTAGCACTCTACACTTGAGTCACAGCTTGTTTTCTGGCTTTTTAGTGGTTAATTGTGTGATAAGTCTGTGAGATTCACATGTCTTATCTACCCAGACTGGCTTTGGACTATGATCCTCAGATCTTAGCCTCCTGGGTAGCTAAGGTTACAAGGCCTGAGACATCAGGGTCTAGCTTTATGACTACCTCTTTACAAATGAACTTATCATTTGATCCAGTAATTCTGCTCCTAGAGAAATGAAGGCATATGTCCACAGACAGACCTGTGCAAAAATTTTAACATTATTCACAGCCAGAACCTGGAAACAACCTGATTATCCAGCAGTTAGTGGACATAAACAAAACCTGGTATGACCATACAAATAAATACTCCTCAGCAATAAAAAGGAATGCATTGTTGCTAATACTGCAAACCATCATGCAGAGAGAAATCTGACAGAAAGTGCCATTGCCTAGCTTCATTCATATCACATTTGTAGAGAAGGTAAAGAGAAGCAGGTCTGAGGGTTGGTGAAGGCCTGGAGAAGGAACAAGAATTAGCTATGAAGAAATACTACGGAGTTTTCTAGGCATTTTTTGTTTTTGTTTTGTTTTTTGGGTCTGGTCATGGGGCCTGAACTCTGGGCCTGGGCACTGTCCCTCAGCTCTTCAGCTCAAGGCTAGCGCTCTACCACTTTAGCCACAGCGCCACTTCCAGCTTTTTACTTATGTGGTGCCGAGGAATCGAACCCAGGGCCTGATGCATGCAAGGCGAGCGCTCTTCCAGCCCTCTAGGCATTTTTTAAAAGTGTATATTCACTAGCTTAATCTGCACAGCCAAACAGTGAATACACATAGCATCTCAACCTAGGGCTTCTACACAAACTTCATTCCTGCTCGTCTCAGTGGCGTAATTTCTTGAAGGTGGGTGAGTAGATCGTGGAAGAACAAGTTCATTTCCATCCCACTTTAAACAACCAAGTTTGCAGTCACTTTTAGTATTGTTTGGAGGCAGAACCGGTTACCTGTTTTGTTTCGTCTTGATTAGGTTTTCAACCAGATGAAGAAATGAGTGAGATCCTCAAGACTGAGTTCCAAATGCGATTGCTGTGGGGCAGCAAAGGAGCTGAGGTCAATCAGATGGAGAGATACGAGAAGTTCAACCAGATTCTAACTGCCCTCTCCCGAAAACTGGAACCTCCTCTAAAGCAGGCAGAGCTTTGAGCTGTCCAGAGACCTCGAGGGTCAAGCTTTCCCACTGTCTCCTTGGGAAAAGCCTACCTGACAAATTAATAAATACATGGAAATCTGACAATGTACAGGCTTTTGAAAGCCATGGGATATTAAACGTGTAAGTTGCACAGAGCACATTTATTTATGAATTGTTTAAAGTTACTACTGATTTTTAAATGAGTAATTTATTATTAAGGGTAACTATTGTAATGTTGATTGGCCAATATAAGAGATCAATCTTCTATTAGAGAATATCTGGCTATTTTAGTTTTAATTTCATGTCAGATAAATGTACATAAGAGTTTTTTTGTTAAAGCATGAAACATTTCAGAAGGTATCAGTTGTATGATATTCTTTAAATATGAAAGATTGTAAATAGTCATGAATGAAAATATATGTTTTTGTGAAACACTTGAATCCAATGTTTTATTTTTATTTTGCCAGTCCTGGGCTCTATTCCTGAGCCTCTCTGTGCTTGGGGCTAGCACTCACCACTTGAACCACAGTGCCACTTCTGGCTTTTTTGGTTTTTGTGGTACTGAGGAATTGAATCCAGGGCTTCATGCATGCTAGGCAAGCACTCTACCACTCAGTCACATTACCAGCCTGGCCTCTAGTCTGTCTAATGTGAACTCATCTTACTAAGCTGGCCTCCAAAGGCACTTCCTTCCTTCGCTAGCCACTAGATGCTGACAGTAAACCAACTACCATCTCCTCTGGCAACATCCTCCCAGACACAACCAGAAATAATGCTTCAACCGTTACCAAGGACTCCTAAATCCAGTCAGGGTGACACCTAAAGACATGAGTTAAGAACCTACATGCAAAGGCAAAACCATAACACAACCTTGACTAAGATTTTTCTTGTTTTTATGCTAGTACTGGGATTTGAACTTGGGGGCCTGGGGTACAGTCCCATAGCTTTCCCACTCTACTAGTACTCTGCCGTATGAGCCACAGCTCCACTTCCAGCTTTTTGCTGGGTAACTGCAAAGAAAAGACCTCATAGACATCTCTGTGTGGGCTGGTTTCAACCCTGAATACTCAAGATCTCAGCCTGCCCTGAGTAGCAAGAATTTCTTAAACTAGATAGAAAAGGTAGATGGACTCTCATTTCCTCTAGCTGATAAGTACAATGAATTTTCTAGGTTCACTTCCCATAACATACTGGGATGTTCATCGGTAACCTTGGTTTTGTTCCTCTACAAAAAACTTAGAATGCAAGATTCAAGACACTGCCATTTTCTTTTATTTTCTTTTGGTTGGTTGTGGGGCTTGAATTCTAGCCTGGGCGTTGTCCCTGAGCCCTTCAGCTCAAGGCTAGCACTCTACCACTTGAGTCATAGTGCCACTTCCGGCTTTTTCTGCTTATGTGGTGCTGAGAAATCAAACCCAGGGCCTCATGCATGCAAGGCAACTACTCTACCACTGAACCACCTTCCCAGCCCAGCCCCTCTTCCTAACTTTTAAATAACATTAAGGTTATATCAAATTGTATTTATGCGTTTTCAAGTTGCAAAAATATCTTCTCAACAGCAAATGGCCTTTGAAAAGTAAGATTAATTACAGGTGTTACATTATAATTTGGTCATCTTAAACATGCCTACTTTAGTTTCAAATCATACTTTATTTCCGTAACAGCCTAGAATCCCGATTTCCCTGCCCTCTGGCCCCACTTTAAAAGAAGCTGCCATATTATTTATTGAAAGGGAAAAAAACCTAACTAAGTACAACTCCACTTTTGACATGGTAGTTAATGCTTTTTAAAGCTAAATCTTACCCAGAACCAGTGGGTACTCAGCTACTAGGGAGGCTGAGATCTGAGGATCACACTTCAAAGCCAGCCTGAGCAAGAAAGACACACACACAGACACACACACAGACACACAGACAGACACACAGACACACAGGCACAGACACACACACACAGACACACACAGACACACACACACAGACACACACACACACCTAAATCCTTTAATCCATTGTTAAGCTCAAGGGAACAACAGAACACAAACACAAGTCTACACACACACACACACACACACACACACACACACACACACACCACACCACCCCCCTAAATCCTTTAATCCATTGTTAAGCTCAAGGGAACAACAGAACACAAACACAAGTCTTCTCTCCACCATATCCCCTGAAAAGTACAGCAAACTTAGATCAATTTGGTAAGGTAACAAATACACTGGCAGACCTGGAGGCAAATACTTATGTCAGTTCAAGGAATGAGAGACTGTGAGGAGTTGAACTTGAAATACCTCTGTTTAAATAGGAATCCTTAAAGACACCCTATTAATGGTCTGCGGTAAAAAACCATCTGCCAGCCAAAGGAGGTTGTTACTGCTCTCCAGAAAGAACCAATAGCATATTTATATAAAAAGAGATAAGTGAGGTTTTTGTTAGGGAATTAGCTTACATGCTTATATGACTAAGTCCCATGGCAGTCTATCTGCCTGCTGGAGGTCCTGGGGTTTTGTAGCATAGCTCAGGCCTACTCCAAATATCTGAGAGCCAGCAAAGCCAACGGCCAAAGGATTCAGAACCTGGGGTCCAATGCTTTAAGTCCAAAGGTCCAAGAACATGAAATTCTGAAGTCTGAAGAGTATTCCAGCTCATGAAAAGAATTTACCTCTGCTTTTTTGCACTCTCTAACCCAGCCAATTAATTGGATGGTGCCCAGGTAGATTGAGGTTGGATTTTCCCCACTCAGCCCACCAGCTCACATGCCAATCCCAACAGGAAACACCCTCTCAGATGCAGTAATAAGGCTTTACCAGGGATCCACCTATCCCTTAACCCTGACGCCTGAAATTAACCATCTCGCCACAAATCATACCTGTCTTCACATACAGCTTCAAGAACAAAATCATTGTAATTGTCCTTGGTGAGAACTTGCAGTCACAGGCCTATCTTCAGACAAGGACTGGAGCAAAATTTGCAAAAGTCAAAACCAAGAAACTGATTTACAGAGGTCTTTGAGTGACCATGTATCTCTCCTACAAGATGTAAAAAACCCACTATTAAGCTATAGTTCAAATTAAGAGCTCATCATTAGAAACTTAATGACAAAATGGTACTGCTAGCTGGGCACCAGTGGCTTATGCCTATAATCCTAGCTACTCAGGAGACTGAGATCTGAGGACTGCGGTTCAAAGCCAGAAAAGTCCTCATGAGATTCTTATCTCCAATTAGCCACTCAAAACCCACAAGTGCTATAAATGGTAGAACACTAGCCTTGAGCACAAAGAGGCTCAGGGACAGTGCCCAGGCCCTAAGTTCAAGCTCCACAACTGACAAAAAAATAAAATTAAAAATAAAAAGGTATTGCTAACCTGTGGGGAAAAGGATGACTTTTAAAATAATTAAAACAACTAAGAATTATTTGAACCGATAAAGCAAATGAAAAAGGGGGAAAAAATGGCTCCTGAGCTAGAGTGTCAAGTGTTCATATGAGGCCCCAAGTTCAAACCCCAGAACCACCAAAAAGATCAAGAAAAAAAACCACAAGTCTCCTTACCTTGTAACATCACAATATAACATAGATGAATTAAGAACCTACATGTGAAAGGCAAAAGAACCATTTTCATGAGATTAAAAAAAGAAGAGTTACAAGAAGCTAGTTAATGCACATTGAAATGAAGAACTTCTACTTATCCATAGACCCCAGAGAAACTGAATATTATCAACACATGCAACTGACAAAGGAGGAGCCTTCAAGTAGAGCCGAATGTTCCTGCCTCCTGATGCTTACATCTGGTGCCATCCTCACCACCACCCCCCACCCTCCGGTTGTACAAGGCCTGGCTGGTATGACCAAGAGCATGAGCAGATTAGGTTATACAAGAACTGCAAGCTCTTGCAGTCAGCAGCCAGCCAGGAACTGAGGACAGTGAACAACCATCAGAAAGCAGCAGTGTGGCTTTCTCAGCCCCAATAACACCTTGAGAGAACTGCAATCTCTTGGGACTTACAGCCCAAATCTCTAAGTGGCTGTTTAATGACTATTAGAAATAACTAATGTAACTGGCATCCTTAATGCACCAAGATCTCCCATAAAAAAATGAAAGCAAAAAAAAAATTCCCACGAGGAAGGTAAAAATGAACAGGAAAACAAAACCACAATGAAGTACTTTCACATGCTCTGAAATGACAAGATAAAGTGCAGGTGACTCACTCAGAAGTAGAACTGTGGCTCAAGCAATAGAGCACTAGTCGAGCAAAATAGCTCAGGGACAGCATTTAGGCACTGAGTTCAAGCCAGGAATAAAGATAGAAAAAAAGATAGATAGATAGATAGATAGATAGATAGATAGATAGATAGATAGATAGATAGATAGATAGATAGATAGATAGATAGATAGATAGATAGATAGATAGATAGATAGATAGATAGATAGATAGATAGATAGATAGATAGATAGATAGATAGATAGATAGATAGATAGATAGATAGATAGATAGATAGATAGATAGATAGACAGACACACAGACACACAGACACACAAGACAGAGATAACTATACGCAGGAGTTGGTGTTTCACTTCACATCTAGTTTGTACTTGCTCCCCCTCTGGCTAATCAGCAAATCACTGCTCTTTAGATGTCTGTTGGGAAGCAGGACAAATAGAAGGGAGAATTTAAAAACCACACTGAGTAAGTCTTCCAAGGCTCCCTCTGGCCCTGAGTGACTTGGGTCTACCCAGCAGTCCAGTGCGGAAGGTGGAAATACAGCAATGAGACAGTGGACAGATATAACACTGCCTGTAGACCAGCCAAGAAAAGGGTGAGAACATAGTAGTAATGGTGTTGTCATGAACTCTCTTCTAGATAATGTTCCTCACATTTCAAATGCCTCCAATGGGCTGTTCTCCACCACACACAGTAAGTTCCCAAATAAAGCAAAGCTTTGAAAAAGCATCTTAAGGGCATTCCTGCACTGCCACAAGGCCTGCACCCCCGAGCTGGGGCCTGGCCTTCACTCCTTTGAGCAGGATGAGACATTTCTTTGCACAAATTATCCTTCTGCATCCCCTTATCCTCTGGCCAGCATCTCTTCTGCTTCTGCCCAACTCCTGGGCACTTGCAGCGCTCAAGTGAGAGCATGCAAAGAGAACATTTGCCCCAATTGGTGACATGGTATCTGTAACTTTTAAGAAGCCCAATTTTGGAAGACTCCCCTTTTGTGTGTGCATGTGTCCTGGAGCTTGGCCTCCAGGTCTGGGAGCTGTCTCTTAGCTTTTTCTCACTCAACTGGTGCTCTACCACTTGAACCAGAGCTCCACTTCCAGCTTTTTGGTAGTTCACTGAAGATAGGAGTTTCGTGGACTTTCCTGCCCTGATGACTTTGAACTGTACTCTTCAGATCTCAGCTTCCTGAGTAGGTAGGTTTTCAGGGGTGAGTAACAGCTGGTCAGGGACAGCCCTTATAAATGCAGAGGGTAAGATGACACCCCACCCCTACCCTCCATCCCCGCAAAAAAAAAAAAAAAAAAAAATCTGTGCAACTGCTGAATGGAGATAAATCCAAGTTATTATATACAGTTTAAATTCACTCCAAAACACTGAGGCTAGCTGCCAGTAGCTCACACTTATAATCTTAGCTACTCAGGAAGATGAGATTCAGAAGATTGCAGTTCCAGACCTGCCTAGACAGAAAAGAGATTTCATCTTCAAAATAATCAGCAAAAAGTCAGGCTGGAGGTGTTTTAAGTGGTTGAGTGCCAACCAAGAAAGTGCAAAGCAAGGCCCCAAGTGAAAGAGAGAGAGAGAGAGAGAGAGAGGGTGAGGGCAAAGGACAGGGAGAGAAAGAGAAAGGGGGACAGAAAGGGAAAGAGGGAGAGGAGAGAAAGAGGGAGAGGAGAGAAAGAGGGAGGGAAAGAGGGAGAGGGAAGGAGGGAGGGTGAGAGAGTGCAAGTGAGAAAGGAGAAAGGGAAGAAAGGAGGGAAAGAGTGGGGAAGAAAAGGGAGTGCAGCCGGGCGCTGGTGGCTCACGCCTGTAATCCTAGTTACTCAGGAGGCTGAGATCTGAGGATCGCGGTTCAAAGCCAGCCGGGCAGGAAAGACCGTGAGACTCCTATCTCCAATAAACCACCAGAAAACCGGAAGTGGCGCTGTAGCTCAAGTGGTAGAGCGCTCGCCTTGAGCTGAAGAGCTGAGGGACAGTGCCCAGGCCCAGAGTTCAAGCCCCATGACCAACAAAAAAAAAAAAAGAAAAGAAAAGGGAGTGCAGGCGGAAAAGATAAAGTGAAAGGGAATGAAGGAGGAAGTAGGCAAGGAAAAAGGTAGGGGAGGGAGAGAAAGGAAGGGAGGAAGGGAGGGAGGGAGGGAAGAAAAGAAAGAGAAGGAAGAAGGGAGGGAGAGGGGAGGAAAGAGCAAGAAAGAAAAAGCTAAAAGTAGATCACTTAAGAGAGACTAAAACCAGAATCAATTTCTGAAGCTAGTTTCCAAAAAGGATGTTCTACTTCAGAAAGTTAGCCACTGCAATTTAGCACATTTAAAACCAAAATCTTTACATCTCTTTGGCTCATATAACAATAAAATGTAACTACACACCTTAACTGACCATGAAAAGTTTGTTTTATTCCATGAAAATATTCTCAACAGAGAACACTATCTTAAACAAAGCATTTACCATTATGAAATCAACATGTGCACAAAGAGTAAAAATACCTGCAAAATTAAAGATTTCTTTTTGACAATTCACATGTTCAAAATCTAAGAATGATTTCAGAATGATTTAAACTGCGCGTACAAATGTCTGTCCTATTGTAAGAGCCAGTTACAGGTTGCACTATTCTACATGAAGGAACTTGCCTCCTACTGAAGCAAATCCTGTATTTAGAAAAACAAACAGTAGCTTGAAAAGAACAGTTAGTCCTTACAAGAAAGCTTTAAACTTTGCCCTCTGTGGCTGATGGCCAAAAAAACATAAGCACTTCAGGCTTTGTACAGAAGACAAACACAGCCCGGTCACATTTCCTTCTCACTGCTAACCTTTAAAATAAAAACAGCACTAGTTTTTAAAACTACTTCACGTAGTTAGTACTGAATAATGTCACATTATATAAATAACCCTGTAACGAGATTTACTATCTAAACTTTATAGTTTACTAGCCTCAAAAACAATACACTATATGTCAGCTGTGTAACAGTGGTGTACTTTATCTTATGAAGGCATTAACTTTCACACAATTGTCATTCAGCTTTAGTATAAATGAGAGCATGATTCAATTAACACTGGGAAAAATTATTAAAAGCAGTCACACGGCTTCTAAAATATTGCTTAAAATCCAATAATACACAGACCATTTCACGTTCTCTTTCTCCCATCAAACCAGTAAGAACCAAATTAATGAAGCGCGTCAGCGGTACAAATAACCCCTCCCCCTCCCACCCTGTTACATCACCACTAAGAAAGTAGCTCAGGTACAAGTCATCAACAGAATCACAAATGCCAGGCGAGACGACATGAGTGATGGGGCCACTAACAACGAATATATTTACAAGTATAAACATACAGAAATTTCCATTTTACAAGTAAAAGTGCACATAGATCATTACAAAGTTTCACTAAATTTTATCTGGTTCAAACAAAAGCATCACTTGGAAACAAGACTATCATGGCAGGAATCAAGTGACATTGTCTTAGTCCCAAATTAAAAGACAAATGTGGGGCTAGGGGAATTCCACAAAACTTCTCATAAAAACGCTAAGTAAAATGGGCTCAAACATGTCCTTCAGTGTGATGCATAAATTTGAAGATGCACCAGTGTACATGGTAGAGCTCTGAAAGCCACCTACCAAGGCTACATTGGCAGCTGCAGCAGGGCCGCAGAGTTAAAAGAGGTCGCACTGAGCTGACGCATAAAGCCCTTTATGGGATACTGTAGTGGTAGTGTTGGCAATCAACAGATTTAGGCACTCTCGTTTAAGGCAGCATTTGAATGGAAGCAGCTGACTCGTGACAATAGTCCTGTGTCTTGAGGTGGAAAGTTTCTTCTGTGTTTATTATTCCAGGACTTCAGTGCTCACTACTGGTTCTTCCCAGACAGTGGTGCAGAAGATATATCATATTTCAGAGAGTTCTGTAGTAACTGGGCTGTAGGCTAGAGCAGGTGGTTTCTTTTTCTCATCATAAATGCTTCAGGTTCACAGACTATGTCTTCGTAATGTCAAAACTGGAATGTTTGCAGTGGGGAAGTTATAGCAGCATACACAAAGACTAAGATGGAACATTAGTGCTGGAGATGTCTGACAAAAGTAATTTGTACTACAAATGTAAAACAACACAAAGACTGGGACAAGAACAAGGGATTATAAAGACATGCCTGAGAATCTAAGCTGGTCACTCTAGACATGCAACAGGATGTTAAGCAAGCACGGAGGTGGCGCAGGCAGACAGACAGATGGCAAAGGCTCTAACAAACAGACAATGGGTCGAAAAGTCACTTAGAACAGAGCTGGTGGACAGAGTCCTGACAAGATAGCTAAAAGAAAGAACATTTTATGAAGTTTTATGACAGCTCTGCATTCTTTTGGATCTGGACATCAGTAAAATAAATGGAAAGAGGCTCAGACACTGTAGGCTTTTTGTCTTCTATGTGAGTAATGGTGCACTAGGAATTTAAGGATTGGTATTATAGGGATTGTTTAAAAACAATGTATGGAAATGCTAATGAAGTTAGTAAAAAAAAAATGTCTGCATGCATTCATGCAACTTGCTTCTCTCATCTCTCTGAGCCTGACAACTCTACCCCCCTCTCCCCCAAAGCAGCTGCATGTAACCTCCTTCAACATCTTGCCCATTCCTCAGAACCCCTCTTCAGGAACCTGCAGTCCAGGAGGAAAAAGAAAAGAAGGATTACTGAAGACCTTTGGTAAGACTAAAAGAGGTGTTCAGATAAAGTGTCTGCCCAAAATGTCTCTAAAATAATCTTACAATCAGCTACTGAAAACACCAGAAAAATGTGAGACATTAAGCAAAATCAAGGGCAGCCTCACAGCTTCTTCACAGCTAAATCAATGTAATCATAAGAACAGCCCACTGAGCAGTCCTTGATTATACGATGTTTCCAAAAACGCTCGTCAACAAAAGTGTAGAGGGGGGAAACCCCAAAAGACAAAAAAATACAATCTATTCTAATAGTAATGATCCAGCTAAAATGAAGCCCTAAACGGTGGTGCAGGGTTTTCCGTTAACCCAGCCAAAATAGTTTTTTCTGTTCTAAAAGTAAACGGTCAATATTTCCCTTCAGATTTCCTCTATCTTTAATGATTTAAAAATCTTATTTTCCTATGTGTAACTGCCAAACACTAAGTAATCTCTAAATAAAGTGATATTTCCAAAAGATATTTTCAAGATGAAAAATACAAGCATGAGATTAATTTGAAAGGAAGGTTGAAAATTACCATAAATCTAAAAGTATTTTCATATCTCAAAAGAAAGCTAGTCTCTTGATTTAAAGAGATGATGCAATAGGTGCTTATTTTCTTCCTTTACAAAATCAGTTAAAAATAGGAAGAAAAATAAAAATGATTATTATTTTATCCAGTTACCTATTACTGTTCTCCCTAGATACTGAAGCTATCGATTCAAATTTCTAGAACAAACTGCTCTTTTGGGAATCACTTACTCCCAGCAGTTCAGAGCAGTTTTACTTATTTCAGTTCATTACAGTTGCTGTGTTTTCTGAAGTAAACATGAATTCCTGCCCAGTAATCAAATCTTATTATTTATAAGGCAGAAAAACAAATCCTTCACACAGACTTAAGCAGGACGTAAAGCAGAAGGCATCAGTTAAGCTTCACACCAACATTACTCAAATGATGAGGCATCACAAAACAATTTCTTGTGGCAATAGTCACATCTCAAAGATCAAGCCTGCACTCAGCTCACACAGCGAACAGGAGACTGGGGTGTACTGCAAGCTCTTATCTTTCTGACCTTTTGGATGTGTTTTCATTTTATGTTATCGTTCTTATGTCATGCATGGCACAAAGCTGCCTGATTAGTTTAGATATAAGTTACTGCACCTTTACTGTTTTTCTCTAGAGTTACATCTATGTATGATGTGGGAACGTAGCCTTCTTCACCGTTCTGTCTGCGGGCTCTTGTCCATCCATCACCTTTGTCTTCTTCAATAATGTACAGAACCTCACCTTCTTTCATTGCCAGAGTACCTTCATTGTGTCCTAGGATGACAGTTTTCATGACATAAGTGTGACTGAAGCACAACAGTATTTGCTAGACGTTATAAAGACAACATACAAAATAATATGAAAATCCTAGTGGATCTCAACGTACCTGGGACTAAGAACCTACTGACTGCCATTAGCAACACATGCTTTGTAGTTTGCCAACACTTTCATACACAATCTCATCTGAATGACATAGTGAGCCTGAGGCTGGATGAACATCAACCCAGATAAAGAAAGTGAGCCACACTGAGTAATCTGACTCTTATTTTTGCTATTCTATTATTTTTATTCTACTTATTTTACTATTCTAAGTCTACTATTCTGAGTGGTGCTCCTACCTAAAAAATTTACTAAATACGAATCAGTGAAATAGTAATAAGACAGTGAGAAGGTGGGGAAAAACAGAAAATATATACTCAAAGAGAGAACAGATTAGACTCTAGTGATGATAGCAGAACAGTCAAAGAACAAACTCCTCTCAAGACCTCTTCAGTCTCAGATCCGTTTTTCTCTTACCCTAACAGGGTTAGGAGTACAATTTTTATACCTGAATCTCCATTTAACATAAGTTATTTTCCTACTTTCTAGATGATTGACTAAAGACTTTACTCAATTTAAAAATCAGTGGATAGCTAGAGAAAGACAAATGCTGTACCATTTTATAACAACTTATTCATGAAAGTGTCACTCTGTTCTTCTGCTGAGGACAGGGATTTTTCAGAGTACACAAGAAGAAAGGTTAACAAAAATCTGAAGCAGAGAGCCATAGCCCTCATCATAAAATAGACTGTGTAGAAATGACTCACTTTCTTTCTTACTCTCATCTAAAAAGGTAGCCTGTGGAGTTGGGATACAATGACATTTGGTTTGTTAACACTGAGACAGGGAGCCCAGGGAGAGGGGAATTCTGAATCAACCAACACCACTAGGTGTAATCTGTCTTAGAATGATTATAATAGGTAATTTTCTTTCAATTCCAGGTATGGGTGAAAAATCATCTATATTTATAATATAGTGAAAATAAAAGTATATAACTAATGAATTGGGACTATAATTTTCTGACAATGTACTATTTGGCTAACAACACTAAAGTAAATGACAGTACAGTTAGACTTGAAGGCACCAATTTTATCAAACAGAATACATTAAGAATGTACCATCAAAAGGGTAGATCGCTTTGCAATGACCGATAGCAGGCAAGGGATCATCATCCTCAAATTCATCATCAAACTCGTTGTGGTGACCATGCTGTTGAGGTGGCCCACGGACTTCTTGGTTTCCATCATCAGTGTAACTTCCCTCAGGACTAAAAACATATAATTATACCCAATCAAGTATCATTAATGAGAGAATTCTTCATATTATTTATAAGCTGATCTCTTCAGGATCAATTCAGAAATTTTGTATCAATGACATAGTTCTGTTATTAAGCCCTATTTTCTTAAACAGTGACAATATAAATTATTTCTAACACAAAATTCTTTTTTACTGAATTTCCTGTAATATTTTTTAATTAGTGTTCTAGACACATAACAAACACATCTCATTAACACTGGGTCTAAAGTTAAAATAAAAAATTGTAGTTCAACAAGAAATGTACTACTATATATATGTAACTGTAACATCACCTTGACAATAAAATTAAAAATAAATAAAAATAAAAAATTGTAGTAGACACGTTTCCCACTGCATCATCCTAAATTCACTGCTTTCCTCTTTTGGCAAAAGAGCCCTAATATTCTGGAGGGAACCCACCCAGACCTGTGTTTGGTTGCGGTTTAAGTTGTTTCTACTGTGGACTCTGAAGGGCTAAGAACACAGTACTTTCATGATGGTAGTTAACCAGTAGTCCTGAAACCTAATCAAATAAAAAAAATGTACAGAGACCGCTGGCTGGGCTGGAAGAAAGCTCATTCCCTTTTTTCTTTGAACCTGGAGCTTTGGGGGGGAAAAAAAAAATCACCTGATAGAAGATTTAAAATGAAATCAACAGAGTAGAAGGTATAACTGAGAGACAGAAAAAAAAGTGAGTCCAGAGGATATAATCTGGGATATTCTTTAAGTCAACCAATGAAGCCCATTTTTACTTTAAGTTAATACAAGTATTCATTCTGTTATGCAAAACAGAAAGACTCCTAATAAGTCAATTTCCAATTTATCACCAAGACAGAGAAGTTAGAAACCAACAAGTACTAACAATTAGAATAGAAGAAAACAAACAGGTAACACATTGTCAAAAAAAATAAATATATATATGTATATATATAAGAAAAAATAGTGCAATTTTTTTTGTTAATATATCAAAATAGCTGAAGAGATTTTAGTAATAGAACTTGCAAGTGGAGCTGTGACTCAAGTGGTAGAGTGAGCAAAGGAAGCTCAAGGACAGTGCCCAGGCCCTCAGTTCAAACCTCAGGACTGGCACCCCAAAAAAAAAAAAAAAAAAAAGAAAGAAAGAAAAATTTATAGGATTAGATCTTACAGCACTTTCAGCAAGTCTGAAAGACATGTTCTTAAACAATACATGCCAAATGAGGTATTTTTAATCTTGGTTTTATCCAGTAACAAAACCTAGTTATAGTACATCTCTTTTGAGGTACTAAAGACAGGAACTCCAAAGTGACAGGACAGATAAAGAGGAGAGGGTAGAAATAATACTTGAGAAGAATTTATCAAGTTATCAAGTATTTTATTTCTAGATGCTTTACATATTATTTCTTTTATGACTTACTAGCAATCCTGAAAAATGGTTTTGTTTTGTTTTTTGTTGGGTATAGGGCTTGAACTCTGGGCCTGGGAGGTCTCTCTCAGCTCTTCAGCTGAAGGCTAGTGCTCTACCACTTGAGCCACAGTGCCACTTCCAATTTTATGGTGGTTTATTGGAACTAAAAGTCTCACGGACTTTCCTGCCTGGGCTGACTTTGAAACCGTGATCCTCATATCTCAGCCTCCTGAGTAGCTAGGGTTACTGGCATGGGCCACCAGCACCCAGTGAAAAATGGGTATTTTAACTTCCATTTTTATATTCTAGAAAGCTCAGATTAGAGAAATATTAAAACCAAATTGGTCAAATTATACCAAGTTCTGATACTAGACCTCTCAAATTCTCCTCTAAGGTGAAATCTAACTTACAGGTTTTTAATTATGGGGGAAAAATACATGTATATATGTACATATGTATATTATACAAGGAAGAAATGTCACAAGTGCTATAAAAATGTAGAAAGGGCAAAATGTCAAGTTGAGTAGGGAACTTGAGAAAAGTAACAATATGCCCTTTCCCACCCTTTTTATTATTTACCAAATCTTGAGCAACCTGATTTTTCTCCAGTAAAAAATACCCAACTCCACCTTAGTCTTCCCACACCTGAGACTCCTCCTATGCCCTTAGATTGTAGTTCCAAAAATCTTCTAGGTTCCTAGCTGTTTGCAGATGCATGATAAACCAGAATTCAACAGCAAGATAGTAATTTCATGCTTCACCTGAAACTATTATTAAAGGAACAGAAAATTACTTAGGTCTAAAAGATTTAAAGTTCTACAATGCCAACCTTATTAGGAAGGAAGAAAAAGGACTGCATGAAAAGGTTGGGAAAAAAATAATACAAGCCAAAGAAAGACCTTTCTCGTCCTTGTGTTACAAGATGATTTATGTCACTGCTGTGTCTTCTGTCTCCTCTTCCACCTGTTTTGCCTTCAACTTCAGAAAGCCAAGCCTTAGGAAAAAAGTAAACAATAATATGTTTACTCAATAATATGTTCAAAATCTCATAAGATACTCTAAATTTAAAATGTGCTTTGAGGTTTTTATATATATATATATATATATATATATATATATATGATTCTTTTTTGTTTTTAATCGGTCGTGGGCTTGAACTCTGGGCCTGGGTGCTGTCCCTGAGCTCTTAAGCTCAAGGCAAGCACTCTACCACTTGAGCCACAGCACCACTTCAGTTTTCTGTAGTTAATTGGAGATAAGAGTCTCACATACGTTCCTGCCCAGGCTGGCTTTGAACCATGATCCTCAGATCCCAGCTTCCTGAGTAGCTACGATTACAGGCACAAAGCCACTGGCACCTAGCATATATGATTCTTAAAGAGGAGAACTTCTTCCAATTTGGTCAATGATCAATTTTATAGCTGATTTTATCATAGTTGAAAATGAACTATATAACTTGTGGGTAGGGACGGAAGGGAAAAACTGGGAGAGAGCCAGAGGAAGAGATGACAATGTCCAAAAAGAAATGCACTCATTACCTGACTTATAGAACTATAACCCCTCTGCATATCACATTTATGATAACAATTAAAGTTTAAAAAAAGAAAAAAACAAAAAACCTCGGGGACAGTACCCAAGCCCTCAGTTCAAAGTCCTAGAATAGGCACAAAAAATTTTAAAAAACTTCAATGAAAGATTAACATTTACCAAAATGATATTTTAATCATGTCCTAAATTTAAACATAATTCTAGAAAAATCCAATAGATCACAATGAAGCTTATAAAAATAATATATTAGAAAACTGGTGAGTCAGAGAATCTACCTCATTCTTATGGATTTCCATCCGTAGGCGATCAATGTTATTCATGGTCTCAGCTAACTTAGGCTGCAGACTCCCTGGATCCCCCATCTGTGGGTTTTTCTCATACACATCTTTCATTTTATTGAGCGCATCTCTGAAAAGGAGGGGGGAAAAAAACCCACAGCATTAAATATTCACTTTGTATGTAGATAAGAATTTCATTCGTCTTCATAAACTCAAGTGCAGCTTAATTTTAAGTAATGGCATCTCTAAGTTTAGTCAAATGTTACTTGATTACCCAGATAATTTGCTTAAAGTTGTACATCAAATAAGAAAATGATCCTTTAAAATACTTGTAATGACAAAGAGAATAGATTTTATTTCTTATGTCTTGTTACAAATCTTATTCATATATACATTAAATGACGTATACATTTAATAATGAACATATACTAAAGTATTCCTCATATTCTTTTTTTTTTGTCGGTCGTGGGACTTGAACTCTGGGCCTGGGCACTGTCCTTCAGCTCTTCAGCTCAAGGCGAGCGCTCTACCACTTGAGCTACAGCGCCACTCCCGGTTTTCTGGTGGTTTATTGGAGATAGGAGTCTCACGGTCTCTCCTGCCCGGGCTGGCTTTGAACCGCGATCCTCAGATCTCAGCCTCCTGAGTAGCTAGGATTACAGGCGTGAGCCACCAGCGCCCGGCTTCCTCATATTCTTAAACTCATTACTGTTTATTTTATTACCCATTACTGTTTATTATTTTGTTTTAAGGCAGGAGCATTTTATAAAGCCTAGGATGGCCTTCAACTCTCCAGTCTCCTGCCTTGGCCCAAATGCTAGGATTACAGACATGTGCCACCTGGTCTGATTCTAAAGCAAAACTCATTCTATGCCGATCCAGCTACACTACTGCACCAGTGTTCCTTATCTCAGGTGATACAGCACCACTGTCCTCCCACATCCATGCTGGAAATAGGAATGCCATCTTTAAAATCTGCCCCTCCCTTGAAATCTCGCTCTGTTGCCAATTCCTATCGCCCATCTCTTTCCTAACCAATGTCCAATGGGTGCTCCCTTACTCAAGCATCTGACCCCCATGGGTGGTACTAATACTCTCTTCCTTTTTGATCTGGATGTTACTTTTTTCCTTTCCTCCTCCTCATTTTTGCTTTTTCATGTTCCTTCACTGGCTCCTTCTCCTTCTTTGTTAAAATTTTAAATGTCTATTACATAAAATGACAGGAGTTTCTTCTCAATCTCATCCTACACTCCTCATTTAATGGTTTCTTTAGTTTTAATACCACCGAACTTCAGATGATTCACAAATGCACATCTCTAACCCTCTTTCTCTCCTAAGTTCAAGATGCATACTTCCAAACTCAACTGTATACTTCCAATGTAGACTTTTCACATATTTCAAAAATCAATAAAATCATCATTCTTGTCCCCAATTTTTATTATTTTCTCTTAATGTTATAGCTATTCTCCTGTGCTATATGGCACAAAACAAAAAATAAAAATAAATAAAAACCTTCCTCCATTTTTCTTTTTTTGGACATCCAGTCATAAAAATTACAAACTACTACAGGGCACTGGTGACTCATGACTATCTGAGGATTGCAGTTCAAAGCCAGCCGCCTAGGCAGGAAAGTTCATGAGACTCTTTTTTTTTTTTTTTTTTTTGGGGGGGGGGGGGGGGGGGGGGGAGTCCGGTCGTGGGGCCTGAACTCTGGGCCTGGGCGCTGTCCCTCAGCTCTTAGCACTCTATCACTTGAGCCACAGCGCCACTTCTGGCTTTTTTTCTTTTTGCTTATGTGGTGCTGAGGAATTGAACCCATGACCTCATACATGCAAGGCAAGCACTCTATCACTGAGCCACTGAGACTCTTATCTCCAATAAACCACTCAGGAAAACTGAAGTGGTGCTGTGGCTCAAGTGGTAGAGCACTAGCCTTGAGCTGAAGAACTCCAGGGCAGTACCCAGGCCCAGAGTTCAAGCCCCACAACCAAAAAAAAAAAAATTACAAACTACTGCTGGGGGTAGGAGAGAAGGCCTGTACTGTAATCCCAGCAACCCAGAAGGCAGAACTCAGGAGAACTAAGAGGCTCAAGGCCAGCCCAGCTAAAGGGTTAGCAAGTCTCCCATCTCAACACATAAGCCAGATGGCTGGCTATATTGGTATGTACTTGTGGTCCTAGACACTGGAAGGCATAAGTTAGATTATAGTTTGAGGCCAGCCCCAGGCAAAAACATGTTTGTCAAAAAACAAAAACAAAAAAACAAAAAACCTATACCAAAAAGAATGAAGGTATGGTTCAAGCAGCTTAGCAAGTATTTGAGTATTGTTAATAAACAGAAAGATCCTAGGCTGGGAATGTGGCTTAGTGGTAGAGTGCTTGCCTAATATGCATAAGGCCCTGCATCTAATTCCTTGGTACCACATAAATAACATAAAACATTTCAAAAAAGGGGTCCTACACTGGCTTTGAAATGACACTTGTATAATTCCCTCCTTTTTAAACCATGGCCATGCTTAATTTAGGCCCCTGGTATCTCTAAAGTCCCCTAACTAGTCCCCTGCCTCAAATCACCTTCTCCTATGATGTCTTCAAATAACTTTAAATTACCTTTCTTTAGAACATGGCTTCTCAACAAGTGCTGGCAATTCCTCAACACCAACAGAACTCCACAGAAAAGCATTTGTTTCTTTACTCATCCTATACCTTTCCACCCACATCCTACTATTATACTCTACACAACTTCCAGTTAAGTCTCCCTAGATCAGAGATAATTCCAGGTCATGGCAAGAACACATTTATGCCTTTGTTCTTGTCTTTCCTATGGTCCTCTCCCTCCCCCTCACTTTTTTGTCTGACAAATATCCCATTTTCCTATCAAGGTCCAATTCTAATGATCTGAAGACACAAACTGGCCAGTGCCTAGAAGCTAACTAAATGTTGCAAGCTATCTAGACTTAGACAAAGTATATATTTGCTTGATACCCTTCTTCATACAGGGGTGGACACCTAGCCCATAGGACACATAAGGCCTTGGAATCTTTTCGGATGTGACGGCACAGACACATATGATTCTCTTATGCTCATAGTCAACTACTCACAGCCCATCTGACTGTATTGATTATTTTGTGTGGTCTGAGGATGATATTATACATATCCAAATGACCCCCTTGGCAGGAGAAAAAAAAAAAAAGGCTCCCCACCTCAGAAAGAAGAAAATCCTCAGAAGACTATTTTAAGTTCAAATGATATACTCCATGTAAAATGTTTAGCTGAGTACCTGGCACATAATAATCCCTCAATAAACATTCATTTCCTAAACCATAGTTCTCCTTCTTCCCCTTGTCTCTCCCCCATAAAGTCTTCCCCAATTATCTCAGGAAAAATTCCTTATTCTTTCCTCTAGTTGTTTTCTTTTGTTTCTGTATTGGTACTAAGGATTGAACTCAAGGCTTGGAACTCTCTTTAGCTTTTTCTCTCAAGGCTAAAGCTCTACTACTGGAACCACCTTTTTGCTGGTTAATTTGAGATAGGAGTCTCTCAGATTTGTCTGACCTGCTTGCTTTGAACCTGAATCTTCAGACCTCATCCTCCTTGAGTAGCTAAAATTATAGGCATAAGCCACTGGCAGCTGACAGCCTATAGACTTCCCTAATTTACTTCTATCTCTACTAGCAGCTACCACAATCCAGCTTATATAAAAATTAAGTCATCCTCAGTCTTGTCTTCCCCAATTAGAATGTAAAATGCTTAGGATCTGGGAATAAGCCTTCAATTAAAAAAAATATATATATAGCCCTAGCATGGATTGTAATATCTATGGTAAGCACCAAATCAAATATTAAACCAAACTATAATTTATTTTTTATATATGGCTCTAGTGAGAAATGCTGTACCATCCAAAAATCATTTAAATTAACATAGACGCCCTTCCTTATTGGCAGATTCATGTTTGGAAATGTACCTACTAAAATATGCTAACTCCAGAACTGGTATTCAAAGCCATTTCCTGTCTGGGTGCTGGTTACTCATGCCTGCTATCCTAGCCACTCAGGGCTGAGATCTGAGGATCTGGTTCAAAGCTAGCCCGGGCAGGAAAGTCCATCAGACTCTTACCCCAATTAAGCACCAAAAAAACCCAGAAGTGGAGCTGTGACTTACGTGATAAAGAGTATTAGTTTTGAGCACAAAAGTTCAGGACAGCAGCAAAAACAAAACCAAAATGCTTTCCTGGTAACTCATGGACACAAAGAAAAAAATTCAAGTCACAAGAGGTATACTAGAGTATCCAGAAGTCAGGCAAACAAAAAACACTCTGCCTTCTAATTCTGGTACTCATATTCTGAATAACTATCCTATTTGCAACTTATTGTCATGTTTTTGGTGCTTTCTGCTGGTGATCTTGGTATTGACGATGACCTATATACATGGTACTCAAGTGCTATCCCACGCTCCTAAGCACATCTATAATTCCTTTACAGAGAAATCATGGGTTACATAAGCCTTGTTGAGGCATAATTATAATGCCATTGGCACAGTTTAAAATATTAAACAGGGTGTCTTTAAATAGAAACATACATGAAATAAGGTTATATATCTGTTGATAAAGAATGTTGAGCTAGGGGCGGGGAAGGTGGCTCAATGGTAGAATGCTTGCCTTGCATACATAAGGCCCTGGGTTCAATTCCTCAGCACCACATACACAGAAAAAGCTAGAAGTTGGTGCTATGGCTCAAGTGGTAGAGCGCTAGCCTTGAGCTGAAGAGCTCAGAACAGTGCCCAGGCTCAGAGTTCAAGCTCCACAATCAGCAAAAAAAACAAAACAAAAATGTTGAGCTAGTGGCCACCTTAAGCCTGACTCTGCATTCATTCCTGGAACAATGTTTCAGTATTCAATAATTCCGTGTTTATGGTGATTTTACAGACTATAACTATTGCAGATGAGAATGGGCTGTAATGTAATCTCATTCATAATTTAATATCCCATATATATTTTTTTATGGGCAGGAGGGGGCTGGCAATACCAGTGTCTCAACTCAGCACCTTGCACTCTCACTTGGCTTTTTCACTGACTGCTAGTGTTCTACCACCTGAGTCACACTTCCAATTCAGCTTTTATTTGCTGGTTAATCAGAGATAGAATCAAATGGACTTTTCTGTCGGGGCTGGTTTCAAACCATGACCCTTAATTTCTCAGCCTCCTGGCTAGTGAGGATCACAGGGCGAGCCACAGGCACCTGGCCTGACACACACTTCTTTTGTTATTATTTGGTAGTTTTACTTGTTTTGATCCAGGGTCTTCCTTTATAGCCCAGACCAGCCGAAAGGTTTAGACCCTCTTGCCTCAGCTTCTCAAGTGTTAAGATTATAGGAATGCAATATCATGCCCAATAAGATACATGATTCTTAATATCAAAGCTTTAATTTCTCAAGCTGGACATCCATGGCTTGTACCTATAATCTAGCAGCAACTCAGGAGGCTGAGATCTGAGAATCAAGGTTCTAAAAACAGCCCAAGTAGACAAATCCTCAAGACTCTGATTTCCAATTAACCAGCAAAAAGCTACAAGTGGAGATGTGGCTCAAATAGTAGAGTACCAGCTATGAACAAAAATCTGAATGACAGTGAGAGGTTCGAAGTTCAAGCATCAGTTGTGGCACAAAAAAACAAAACTTTAATTTTTCATGCTAGAGTTTAAGCCTCAATTCTATCTTCTGTGAAAATATACATAGTAAATCGCTGCAAACATAACAAAAATTTAAACAAATAAAGATCTAAATAATCAAGCAACATTTTGCAGCAAACTAATTGGACCTTCAGGTTACTACTGAACTCAACTTGTACTCTAAAACTAATGTTTATAAAACTATAAGATAGTGTTGGTAAAACTATATAATAAATCACCAGCTATATTAAAAATTTGTGGAAAGCAAAAACACGTTCATAGCAACAAAAAATCTTCATCAAAGAAAGTCTCATATGTTTTGATTTTAGCTAAAACATCATAATCACAAAATTTGCAATCTAGAAGCATATTTTTCTTTTCTTTTGTGTTGGTCAGGTCTGGGCACTGTCCCTCAGCTCTTCAGCTCAAGGTTAGTGCTCTACCACTTGAGCCACAGCACCACTTCTAGCTTTTTCTGTTTATGTGGTACTGAGGAATTGAACCCAGGGCCTCATGCGTGCGAGCCTTCCCTTCCTGAGCTACCTTCCCAACCCAGAGCATATTTTTCTAACAAAGTATTTGCATTGGGATTTCTTTCTCTGGGGGCATGCAGTGCTGGAGATGGAACTCCCCATTCCTCCACACAGAACTTGTGGATGCCAAATAAGCACTCTATCTACCACTAAGCTATATCCACAGCCCAGCATATATGACTCTGAAACCCCACACACATTATTTTTGTGTGTGACAGTCTGGGGTTTGAACACAAAGCTTGGGCACTGTCCCTAAACTTGTTTTGCTCAAGGCTATTGCTCTACCACTTGAGCCACAGCACTACTTCTGGCTTTTTCTAAGTAGTTAATTAGAGATAAGAGTCTCATGGACTTTTCTGCCCAGGCTGGCTTCAAACCACAATCCTCAGATCTCAGTGTCCTGAGTAGCTAGGATTACAGGTGTGAATCACAATGTCCAGCTTCCATACACATTTGAACACATCATTCAAAGCTTGAGAGAGGGCTGGGAAGGTGGCTCAGTGGTAGAGCGCTTGCCTTGCATGCATGAGGCCCTGGGTTCGATTCCTTAGTACCACATAAGCAAAAAGAAAAAAGCCGGAAGTGGCGCTGTGGCTCAAGTGGTAGAGCGCTAGCCCTGAGCTGAAGAGCTGAGGGACAGCGCCCAGGCCGAGTTCAGGCCCCACGTCTGGACCCTCCCAAAAAAAGCTTGAGAGATAGGATAGTTGTAGGACTTAAAGGGACACTACTTTTGGTCTGATTCTTTCTGTAGTTCTCTGTTCAGTTCATCGATGCGCTGCTGTAACTTTTTACGCCTCTGTTCTGGTGGAAGATGACTGAAATCTTCTAGTGCTGGACCCTGAAAAGAAAATCTAAATCATTATTAAATAAACTTTTAGAAAATTTTATTTTTAAAATGTACCTGTTACAAAATGGGAAATATACCAAAATTCTAAGTTTTAGTTTCAAGAATTTTTAAAGAGAAACTGCATAGATATGTGAATTAATGAAAACAATTATACTGGAAAGCTCACATTTCAATTACTTTTTAAACCATGAAAAGAAAAAAAAAAAATCACCAAATACATGTAACTGGTAATCACAAGTGTCACATTACTTTCTTGGCATAGTTAAAATGAATACATATGAATCTTCTTACAGTAACAACAACATGGAAACATGTAACATTTCTCATCTATTCAAGTTATTATTTTACATATATGCTTACATATGTTTCACTGCCATACTTAAAATACTATAAACATTCAAACTAAAAACAAGAAGCACCTGTACAATGAGCTTGGTAAACAACTTACCTCACAAGACAACTCATGAAATGAGCTTCAATACTATATAGTCTTTTAAGTGATTATTTTTATTAAATCATTCTTTAGAATCAAAACAAATTTTAATCATTAAAAAACAAGAGGTAAGACAATCTACTGAGGAAAAAATTGCATTCACACATGGAGTATTATTGCAATTTTCCATATGTAAAATCAAGTAACATCTCTCAGCTGCTCCTGAAAGAAAAAATAGGAAGGATCTAATCCATCTTTCTCCTTTCCTTCTTATTAACATACTAATTAATAGTATAAAGGGGTTTCCATTGTAATAATTCCACAGATATTTTATATATATATATATATATATATATATATATATATATATATATATAATTCCATAGAATAGTATTATATGCACTTTTTTCATCATCATAGGGATTGAACTCAGGGCCTCGGTGCAATATGAGTTCTTTTGCTTAAGGTTAGGGCTCTGTGTAGACACTGAGCCACAGTACCACTTGCGGTTTTCTGGTGATTAATTGGAGATAAGAGTCTCATAGACTTTCTTACCCAGGCTGGCTTTGAATCACGATCCTTAGATCTCAGCCTCATGAGTAGTTAAGATTACAAACATGAGCTACCAACACCCAGCTCCACTATTAATTATATTCTGTTTATCACCACTACCTCTTCATGTTTTTCTTTTCTTTTGAAACAGGATCTCAGTATTTAGCTCAGGCTGGCTTAGAATTTGCAATGCTCCTGCCTCAGCTCTTCAAATCGACTATAAGCATGCACCACCATGCCCAATCCTTCAGTAAAGTTTTGCTTTGTCTTTTGTTGTTGTTTTTTTCTGCCAGTCCTAGGGCTTGAACTCAGGGCCTAGGTGATATCCCTGATCCTCTTTACTGAAGGCTAGCACTCTACCACTTCAGTTTGGGGGGAGAGGGGGGAGTTAGGAGGTAGGGAAAGTGTTTCATTGGAGACAAGGATTCATGGACTTTCCTGCCAATATTAGTCTCAAACTGCAAGCTTCAGATCTCAGCCTTCTGAGTAGCTAGAATTATAGGTATGAGCCACCATTGCCTGGCTCAAGAAGTTATTCTTGACGTATGAATTTTAAAAATATTTTTATAAACAAAAAATCACATAATTTAAGAAATAAATGTCAGTATTTAGAGTAAAACTTTTATACAAATGTCTTTTCCTCTTTTCTTGGAACAGGGTCTGATATGTAGTGTAGGCGTTGCTTTGAACTTGAGAACCTCCTATTTTAGCTTCCCAAGTGCTGAATTACCATACCCAGCTCTCTTTTTCCTGTTCAATATTATTTCAGTCATTTGCATTTAGCTACTAGAAATTATAACAGAATCAATATTAGCAATATTGAATATATTCCAAAAATTGATATATTTCTTTCCTCTTCAAAATTATTCTTTTAAGAATTTTTAAGGCATTGCTGAAATAAACTTCCAAACTGAAATGCATCTTTGTTCTTTGGGACACTTAGGCCTATAATGGCTGTATTTCACTATTTATAAGCTAGTTTTACTTACTACTTTTTAAAAAGGAAAACCTCACTTTTAGAATGATACATGACAAATGCAAAAATTAATTAGTAACAGAATCCCTAGACTCTTTTCCCTAGCAGCTTATGTACCATAGAACAATCAACACGCTTCCAGGCAAAAAGCAGAGCACCTGTCTAAGTGGTTTGGTTTGTCTAGAGTTACCAGAAATAACAATACCAATCAATCTATATAAACAAAGGAATGCTAAAATTTGTTTCTTAAGTTATTATGTATGTGTCAAAGAGAAACTTTTTTGTCTGTGTGCTGGTCCCAGAGCTTGAACTCAGGGCCTAGGTGCTGCCTCTGAGCTTTTCTGCTCAAGGCTAGCATTCTGCCACTTGAGCCACAGCTCCACTACTGGCTTTTGGTGGTTAACTGGAGATAAGAGTCTCACAGACTTTCCTGCCTGGGCTGATTTGGAACCACAGTTCTCAGAGTTGCTAGAGTTGCTAGAATGAGCCACCGGCACCCAGGCCTTAATTCATATTTGTAAAAATATTTCTGAAAACCTTGAAAAATATTTTATGAAATGATGAAATACATTTCAATGTAAGCTTTTTTTTTCCAGAAATGCAGTATTTTTTCAGAACTAGCCATGAATAAATCACATTTCTGCTTTTCTCTAACCAAACACTGTTATAACTTTACTGCAGTAGATATCTCATACTCCAGTTCAACATTACAACCTACTCTTACACAGGAAACAAGCACTAAATCACTGCATTTCCTATGGGTATAAAGAAGCCCTCCCAGGCATTCAACAGTCTCTTACTATAAAGGATTTTATAAAAGGCTCAATTGTAATTGTCTGTAAGTCTCTGTTCTTATGCAATCAATAACTTGGAATTAGTTCTTCATAAAGTAGGCCCATCAATCTGAAATAACGAGAGGAACAACACACACATATATACACACACACACACACACACACACACACACACACATACACACACACACAAATTGCATTATTTGTTTCTGTTCCCGTTCAGTTGTAGAGCAATGACTCCATAAATGAAATTTAGGAAACCTTTTTCTAACTCTTTTGAAGAATACTAGTAATCTTGTAATAAGCTACAAATCAAATTTATATCATCATTAGACAGGGTGCTGAGAGCTGAGTAAATTAGTTTCTAAGTTTTATTTCTGCATAACATGAACTCTTGCTCTACCATGTAACTTTATAGCATGACAAGGACTCCAATCAAGAACATTTAAGTATTTAAAGGGTTGATGACAGTTAACCACATTTTCTAATCTTTGACATTCAGAGGTACTTGTAATAATATTGTAATAAATATTAAAACACACACACACACACACACACACACACACACACAAACAAGGTGAAAATGCGGGATGTACTTCACCACTGTTTTGCATTAAAACAATGTTTAGAGATTTTTTTTTTTAATGTTGGCATAGTATATATATATATATCAGCACACAAGGCTTACCATCTTCACCGACCACTGAATAGTTCAATGGAAAACAGAAAGAAATGGTAAATTATTCACATGAAACTGTAATCCAGGAGATGCAATAACCTATATTCTTAAAATATTAAAATAAATCATGTAAATCATGTAAATTTCGCAATCCAAACAATTATGCTAGAAAAAAAAAAAAACAATTTTAAGCACATTTTGGAAAAGCAAATTACTTGCAAAAAAGAAAAAGCAGCACACACTGATGATAATGGGCAGATATTTTCTAAGTTGAATTAAAACTCAAAAATAATCATTATATCAATGATGCAAAATTCCTGTTTTCATGGTATTTTATAGAATTCTATCACAATTTGGAATCTATTAATATAGTTTCTCTCTAAAATAAGAGAAGAAACATGTTTTAAGTAGGTTTTACTTATTCTTTTCAAAATTTTCAAAAAGTACCAGCATTTGAAAAATTGAATATAAAAGATTTAGTAATTAACTATTTAAAAAGAAAATCTTAGGTGAAAAACTGAGTGGCCTTCCCAACAATTAAAGAAAATACTATCATCTGAATTTTCATATTCCAAACACCATTGTGAAATTAAATATATCACAGGAATCCAAGCGTATCATTTTTTAGCTTTTTTTTTAGTGATAGCCACATTAAAAATTCATTATCAAAATAAGTAAATTAGGCAGGTACTGGTGGCTCACACCTATAATACTACTCAGGAGGCTGTAATCTGAGGATCACGGTTTAAAGCCAGCCAGGGCAGGAATGGCATGAGACTTTTATCTCCAATTACCCACCAGAAAACTGGAAGTGGTGCTGTGGCTCAAGTGAATAGCTAAGGGACAGCGTCCAGGCCCAGAGTTCAAGCCCCACAACTGACAAAAATAAAAAAAGTTACCCAGAATTAAATTCTTTAGACATACCTCCCAACAGACACAAATATAACATATAGGTTGAATTTAGCTTTAAAAATAGTTTCTATTTTTTAGCTTTTATTCTGAAAACAATGTGCATCAAAAAACACCGAAAACTTTTAGCAAATAAAATTTATTCTGAAATATGAAATAACAATCGGAAGAGAACAATGGACTTAATAGAATAACACACATACACACGCGCACGCACGCACGCACACACACACACACACACACACACACACACACACACACACACAGAGGTTACATCATATGAAGCATGCTTTACAAAATTAATCTTCACATTCACACATTTGACTAGTAGCCCTTAAATTTTTCATTTCTCAGGCTAGAGATGAATGTCAGTAGTGGACTGATTGCCTGGCATGCACAAGGTCCTGGGTTCAATTCCCAGTATCACAATAAAAATTCTTTTTTACATTTAGTCCCTGTTTTCTAAGTAATAATGTTTAAGAAAAATAGTAGAGAAACATAAGGAAGAATTTCATGTAAAATTTTGAAAGAAATTTAATAAATATCTGGTAAAAATATCTACCCCTTATCTCTGATGAGTTGGCCATAGATATTAATGGTTATGAAAATAAGATGACATTTGCTATGCATTATCTTTCCAAACTAAGT